GGCGCTACTATATGTACATGAATGATAAATAGAAAAATGAAATAAAAAACAAAATAATTCATTGATAAAAACTTACTATAAAGAAAAAAAAAAAGAAAAACCAAAAAATACAATACAAAACATTATACGACCATTTATTTTATAATTTAATAAAAACATTTAATTTAATTCATTATTCTATAATATTACAGAAATTCACAAATTAATAATTTATTTAAATTATAAAAATAAAAATCTCCCTTTATTCAAGCATTGACCTTAAGGACACCACTTTTTAAAATAATGAATATTCATTTCTAAAATTAATTTATGAATTAATTTATTTATTAATAAAATTAAGTTTAATTCTTATAAAATTTAAGTTTTAATTGTAAACTTTTCTACCTAAAAATTATTTTGAATTACATTAATATATGTAACTTAAATTTTAAATGTAAAAAAAATAACATAAAAAACGATAAAAAATTACACCCCCATATATTAAATAAATAAAAAAATCAAAACCATCGCTCAAAAACTTAAAACACGAAAGAAATTCAAATATTATAATTATAATTTTTTTATAAAACAAATTTTGAATAAGAAAGAAAAAAAAAAACTTTAAATATTATATAAGTATTCAAAAAAAATCAAATGTCTACGTATGATACAGAAATAAATAATTGTATAATATATGTATACACACTTATAATATGAACATATTTATATATATATTTAAATTTTTTTCACTTATTAATTAAATTACTTTGAATAACAAGGATTTTTTTTTATAATTTGACTTTAAATAATTAATTTATGAAACCTAAATGTTTCCCTTCAAATTTAATAGTTAAATCTTAATTAAATTATGTATGCAATTAAAATACAATGTAAAAAAATAACTAAATTTATTAACTAAAATTATTTAACTGGGTATTTTTGAAAATGGAGTTTGTATTTGCATTCCTAAGATAGAACTTAAGAAGCTTTAGAAGCAATAAAATACGATTGCAAAAAATGCAGAGTTTCTATTTACATTAAAGAAAGTTTTTGCATTTGTTGAAGTACTGTTAAAGTCATATGTTTTTATTCAATTTAAAAAATTGAAACCAAAAATTTAAAGAAAAAAAATTGCTTTGAAAAATATTTGTAAGTTTTTTACAAAGTGATTGCGACCATTTTATAAATTTCGCTAAATGCTTGACTCGAATTCAATGTTTTTTCATTTTCTATTGCACTAAAATTAAATAAATATTAAACAAATAAAAATTTGAAAACGAAAATGCATAACTTACTCCAATAACATTTTTGCTTGCAGTAGTAAAATTTTTCCAATGTGCTACAAATTTAACACAAGAAAAGAATTGAATTATCAAAAATATCCACTGGTAATATTTTATAATGCTAATTTATACAAGTAAACAAATAATTATATTTTTTTTAAATACATTCCACACAAATTATCTTCGTCAATTTTAGATTTAACGTTTAAATTTATTATTTCAGTTTTTTCTCAAACAATATACTAAGCTGATTTTATTTTTAATGCTTTAAAATGACAAAATTGAAATAAATTCATTTTCAATAATAAAAATTATCAAAAAAAAAACAAAATTCAGTTATTCGTATAACCGAAATCCATAATAATTTTAATTTCCTTGTTTTTTTTCTATTTAAAATTGCTTAAATTATCAAAAATATTTACAAAAAAAAAGTTCAATAAAATAAAAAAAACTCATTTTATTTAATAAAAATTAGAAAAAAAATACTTAATAAAATGTAAAATTGATAACGCAATTTTAATTCATTCTAATTAAAAAAATGAAAAACAGTTGAAAGTTTAAAATGGTATTAAAAAACTAAAATATATAATAGTATACATAAACTGAGTTAATAATATTATATATGATATAAAATATCATAAAAAATACATATGTATATATACCCATTTATATATGTAATAAGTAAATTATATATAACTATATATATGCATCTTTTTAGTATTTAAAAAAAATATAAATAGAGAAATTTCTTTTCAGTTTCTCAACAACAGAATGTGATGTTTCTTTTATTTTTTACAGGTGAATTAATTAAAATAAGATAACCAAAATAAAAATTGTATTAAAAACAAAACATTTTGATGATATAACAAAAAAAAAATAGGATAAAAAGTAAATACATCTTTATATATATGTATATACATATTATATATAAATCTATATAATGTATAAAATTTAATTACAAATATTCTAAGATTGCATAATATATTATTACATACATGCATAATTATATAGAATGTATTATCTAAAAAAATGAAGATATAAATACAACACGTATCTAAAAAACATAATATAATAATATTATATAGATACATATATGTATATATGTATTAAAGAAAATAAAATCATAAAACAAAAACCAGTAATTCTTATTAATATATTAATAATAATATTGATAAATTCATTATAAAAGAAAATAAAATAAATATTTGTTTTATTTACCTAATGGAAAATCCTCAAGCACGAATTTAGAGTGTAATAACCGTTGACTTAGTTCTTATCCTTATATATCTAAATTTTTTCGAAATTTCTAAAAAGCAATTATTTTTCTTTTCAGAATTGCGACCTTGTTAAAAAAATGTTACTAAATGCCTATTTAAAAATTGAACTTCTGTACTTTTAATAATTTTTGGGATTTTAATATTAATATTAAGAACTTTGCAAAATGCATTTTATAGCTGTGATATTTAAGTTTTTAGTGCTTTTTGGCAAAATTTGAAAAATACTTTAAATAATATTATTTGCATAGAATATTGAATGTTTACCAAATTTCTTCAAGAAACTGTTTGTTTTTTTTTACATACCTAAATGAAAAAAAGTTTTAAAGTAATAGGTATGCACTTAATTTTAAATTATGAAGTCCGTTTTATAATAACGAATACGATAGTTTTTAACAAAAACATTTCTTTTACAATATTGAAGCCCAAGTGTAATATACAAATATACACATAAAATTATTAACTTAATAAAAAACTACAAGGATCACTTACATTTTTAGTGGCAGATAAAATTATCCCAAAATAACAAAAAGCGCCGGCGCAATATGATTACCAATATTTTAATTTGACGAATTTCAATTTTTTAATGCTGTTAAATTTTCAATTTAAAAAGAGTTCATATTCCTTTAATTAAATTTCAAAAGAGCTTCATGCAAAACAAGAAATGTTGAAACTGAAAAAAAAATAAAATATTTAAATCAAATAAATTATATTTTTTTTATATAAAATGTTTAGTTATCTAATTTTGTCATTTCTTTAAAAATTATTTTATGTTCAATCTAATTAATCAGTTTTTTATCATACATATTACGTATTTAAGAAATTTAAAGGTCGAAGGAAATATTTAAAAAACCGTGTAGAACCGTTTTACTTCAATTTTCTTGATAATCAATGGAAACTGCAAAACCTGTTTTTTTAAATGTTTACGACTTGCATAAAAAAAATACATGTATGAAAAAATTTGGTATTGGCTTTTATCACACCACAATTGAAGTTTATGAATCAGAATTTAATTATGCTGGCCATCCCTTCCATTTTTCTGGTATCTTTAAAATGCAGCCCAGAACTCTAGTTGAAAAATTTTCTTTACGAGAGAGGAAACTAATGGGATATACAAATTATAGTTTTAGAACAATATATGACCATCTCAAATATTTAGGTGCAACTTCTTTCCAAGGATCTAAATATGATCTGATAAGAAATAATTGTAATCATTTTAGTAATACTTTTGTTATGTATTTATGCAATGTACAGATACCAAAATATATCAACCGAATAACAATATTTGGTTATTGCTGTTGTATTCCAACACAAATAACTCATTTAGGACTTGATGAAGATGATATAAAAAATATGAGATCAATTTTAAAAAATTTGGTGGTTTAATAAATTGGTAATTAAAAAAAAAATAGGAAGTTTTTATTAGTAAAATTAAAAAATTGCATCGTAATACGTGTACGTATGTACATATGCAATATTGTGACTAAATATTATATACTTACATACATATATACATGCATATGCACATAGATAAAATCCCATTTTTGTTTAAATTAAGTACATATGACGGACAAGTGCGTCACACTTATTGCGCAAGTGAACTTAAATGTTTTTAACAAACTCGCATTAAGTTAAATATATTAGAATTTTGATTAGATTAGCCCTTTGGACAAATTTTTTAAACTGTACTCGACAGCGTCCATTTCTTCCATTTTTTCTTGTTCTTTTTCCACAATATTCTTTATAAATCTCTTGCTTCCTTGAAAATGGAAAACTTTCAAGGAAAATTCACGTTTTTCCAAGGTTTGACCAATATGTATTATGTAATTCAAATATCATTATTTATTTGTTACTTTCGAAAATTGTAGGCTTTCCACTTTTATTTCTCATCAGTAAACTTAGCCGAATACACACAACTTTCCTGTTTTACGGTAAATATAGAATTAAACTTTTGAATTACTTCACGCATCACATAAGTACACTAAGTTAATTCACAATAATTGTACTATCTGTCTGAAATGAAATAGGATATTTGCTTTTGGTAACCAAATAAAGTAAAGAAATCAATCTAACCACGTCAAGTAAATATGCCGTGAACCGCTATAAATGAAAAAATTTAACCTATAAATAAAGTAAATGTTATATTATATAAAATATTTTTATCATCTTTCATAAAACAGACAATTAACGACATACAATTCGCAAATTTCACATACATATGTATGTATTGTAAAATATCAGAATTGTTTTAATTTATATAAATAACAAGCCTAGCAAATTTTGAAAAACCTAATTAATTTCATGTTCAAGGGGAACGAAAAGTCAAACTATGATGCAAAAGTCGTCGTGTAAACACAGTCATCGGGTGTCAATTTATCAGCAATTTAAAAAGTTGGCTGTACTGCTAAAACTTAATACTAATTCGATGTTTGACGTTTTTACCTTATCAGTAGGTTGTCAGCTTTTGAAATTTGGAATATTAATGTTTTTTCAATGTGTGTCGATGTGGATTGAAAGAAAGAGGTGCTTGGAAGTTGGTTATATAAACACAATCGGTTACATGTTACTTTGCATTAAAACATAACATTATAGTGCATTATATTTTATACATATCTACATACAAGTAATTAAATTGTGTATAAATAAAATCACAGTTTAATTTCAAACTCTTTCTTAGCTCTAATTTTTTAAAGCTTACTCAACACAATTTTTACAACTTGAACTTTGATATTCAATTGAAGGATATTAAGATTGTTGATAAGAAAGTACGATGGCACCTGTGTTAAAACCAAAACAACGATATGATTACGAACTGGGTATCAATGCTGTATTACTTGGACCGCCAGGTTCAGGAAAGGGAACTCAAGCACCTCTCTTGAAAGAGAAATTCTGTGTATGTCACTTATCAACTGGTGATATGCTAAGAGCCGAAATATCTTCCGGATCAAAACTTGGATCACAATTAAAGAAAGTAATGGATGAAGGAAAATTGGTGTCAGATGATTTAGTTGTTGACATGATCGACAGTAACTTGGATAAACCAGAATGCAAAAATGGATTCCTATTAGATGGTTTTCCGAGAACGGTGAAACAAGCCGAAAAACTAGATGAGCTTTTAGCTAAAAGGCGAACGGAATTAGATGCCGTCATTGAATTTTCAATTAATGATAATTTATTAGTACGAAGAATTACAGGTCGGTTGATACATCCATCCAGCGGGCGGTCATATCATGAAGAATTTGCGCCACCAAAAGTTCCAATGCGCGATGATGTCACCGGAGAACCTCTAATTCGACGAAGCGATGACAATCCAGAAGCGTTAAAGAAACGTTTGGAAGCTTATCATAAACAAACTAAACCTCTTGTAGATTATTATGGATTGAAAAAGCTACACTTTGCAGTTGATGCATCAAAAAAGGCCAGTGATGTTTTCGCAAATATTGACTCCATTTTCATGAGACAGAAAAAACTTCATGCACAACTTTGAAAAAAGGGGTAAATTTATTTTAACAAAAGGATATTGTAAAAAGAAATGACACATCATTAAAAGTTATTCTATGTATAACTTTGTTTTCAGTTAACTTTCCTACCTTTACTGGCATTTAGTTATTTTGTTTTTTAATTTTTTGTCAAAAAATATATGTATAAAGTTAAATTACATTAGGTAAAATGTGTTCTAAGGCATTTATGAAAACTAACTAAGCATTAAAAAGCACATTAATGAAAGTAAAAATGCTTGTTTTCTGTTTATATTTACATATATAGGTACACACATAAATTTGAATTTTTCGAAGGTCAACAAAGGTTAAAAACATAAATATATTATGCACATGGTATACACATTATTCAATAGACCTATGTATTAGGTTTTCGGAATCCTATTGTTGTACAGAAAATTTCGTGGTTAAAAAAATTAAATTTTATTAAAAATTTTTGAGGAGCTTTCAAATCATTTTGGATATGTTTGTAAATAAGTATACCTACCTACCTACTCGCATATCCAAAACCTTATTTAAGATTTTTATTTTAGATAACTATTCAGCTTATTTTGGTAGATAACTCTATGCATGAAAGCTTGAACTTAGGCTAAAGGAGAATCTATATTGATTTCAAAAATGATTTTTTGTTTGCATTTCTTTCACATTTTTTATATTCAATATGTATAATATAATATGTACAGTAATTGGAAAATAATTTAAATTTCATCAATTTGTTAATATGGTCATGTATATTTATTGTTTTGCGAATAACAAACTTTGCCTCATTTGGTCATATGTATTTATTGTTTTCTTAATAACAAAAATTCCTTCATTTTGAAAAAAAAATTAATTTTTATAATATGGGTAAGTTATTTTTCAAACTCAAAAATTGATAAAAGATTGATTTATAAAAATACAAAGCGACTAAGATTTGAACATATTTTTCAGGCACATTATTTTTATTACCTATTGTTATACTAAACGCCGTGAATGATTCACATTTATTTAATAATTTAATATAGTTCAACAATGATGAAGCTAATAAACATATATCCTTTTTCGTTGGGAAAATTAAAGATTCTGTTTCCGCATTGTTTATTTTAAAAACAGAGTTTATATCAACAATCGTAATATTTGGTAAAATGGCCCAGTCATGTAAATTCAAAAGCCTTGCTATAAGTTTATCAACATTTTGAAAGTACCTAAAAAATTTGTTAATTTATTTATAAATTTATTAAGGTACACAACATACTACATTATAAATATCTGGGATAAGTAGGGTTTTACTTCTTTTTGTTCAAAGGCAATCCTTATATTATCTGAACAAGTTAAGATTAAAATTTTATATCCTTTTTCAGCTTGCCTAACCGAAAACTAAAATAAATCAAACTTAAAAATATGAATGCGACTTGAAAATCACTATACTTTTAAAATTTTTTCTAGATATTCATTTTCATCATCTATAAATAAAAAATTTCGCATTGAACACTGTCTGTAATTCATTTCTAAATTTGTTTTTTAGTTTATATAGCATAAACAATGCAAAAAATCTAATCGACTAATCAACATGTGTTTTCTCATTCTTAAACTTACACTACAATGTAGTAAATAAGACACATTTTGCCACCACAACACCACATTTAGTGACATTCCGAAATTTTTAAAATTTGTTGCAGGTTAATTGCCACTAAACCTCATAGTGTCGAATTATGCGGAATAATGATAGATACGAATAATGGTAGATATACATGAATAATAGACAATAAGCATATAAATTATAAAACAACTACGCAATTTTATACTTTATCCAAAAATCCAAAATACATAAGGTTTAACAACCTATAATAATTTGAATTTTACGACAAGCGAGCTCATAATTTACACGGCGTGAAAAGAAAAAAGGAAAGAGATTAATTATACAAAAATTTTAGTTTAATTTAAAAATAAAGCAGGTAAAAACATTACATTGAAAAATATTTTAAGGGATTCGTCACAAAAAAGTAATGCCAGTTGTATTATTTCCCTCTCAGTTTCTCATAGTTTTCGTTTTTGTGAAAATATTGACAATCTGTCAATTTTAATTTAAAATACAAATTCCATATTTGCTTATTTATTTATTTAAATTGTAATGAAATAAATAAATATTATTATTGTATTAAGTTATTTTATAGTATCTTCGATACTACTTATAAAATAACTTGATAAAAAATTATTTTTTTACAATTTCAAATCACATGTTAATACAACTTGTCAAAAAATTAAATAAAAATTTTTGGTGGAAATAAATTTTCTAGCAAAATGAAGTCTATTATTTCTTATTAATTTACCTGAATTTTAACTCGGTCTCGTTAAAGAAACCTACTAACAAGTATATTTTGTGACAACCTAATAAGTATAGATATGGTAAAATTAATACAACTTGTCAAAAAATTGAAAAATAGTTTCACGATACAGCTTATTTATTATTTTTTATTAAAATAACTGAGTTAAAATTGAATTCTACTTTGTAAAGAAACCTAAAGAAAATCTGATTAGGAATTCTATCTACATATTTTCGTATGCTAGACGCATTTCAAATTCGTATTTATCTATGTAAATATAACTTACTTACTGTTTTAATTTACTTAGTTTACTATATGCGGATTTCGAGGTCATATGAACTCTACTTGACTTGCAATTTTCAAGTCGAATCGTTCCGATAAAATTATTAGCTTGACTTGAAAATCGGCCACATATACGCGGATTGAAAGATTGAAAGGACAAAATTAGTAAAAAATGCTTGTTATACATATGTATAACAATTCCAAGAAAAAATTATTTACAACAAATTTGAAAGCTTTATGTAAAAATATATTCATACGAGAAATCTTCTTGTATGATATTGCTACATTTCAATATTTTAACATCATAATAGAGTATTGATTGATTTTCATAGTCAAAATTACCACACATGTTTTTTATTTGAAAATATTATTATACAAAATTCATATAAACCACCTGCTACCACACATTTATGTGGATCAATTCTATTTATGTATGTATCTAATTGCCTATTTTGACCCTTTTTTTGACTATTTTTGTTTAACTTCGTAATTGACAGTAATTTCTTTCTTTTGCAAAAGTATTTAGCCACAGTAGAAAGCTCCTACAATTATAAATGTATATGTAAATAAAATTTAATAAAAGCTGATTTAGATAAATTAGCTAAAAATTTTTTAATTGAATAACTTCTTAAATTCTCAAGTTTCTCATTATTATTTTTTTTTGCAATTTAATAGTGAACTTAGAACGTAGATATATTTTAATTTGTTACAACCCTGATTGACAATTGTTTCAAAATGTGCTGAACGACAGCTGTCATGTCATTTAATTAGAGAATATATTTTCCTTTGTCGCACCTTTGTACCTTACTATATCTATTTCTTTTTTAAAGCTGAAGTCGGCTTTTCGGCTTTTTTTTTTATTACAAACGCACACTATAAAGTATATTCGTGTTTTATTCCGCCATTCAAACTTCAGTTGAGACGAATTCGATTTGCTTCGTTCCGTTTTTGCGTGTACTATAAGTGTTAACTTTACATATAAGTGAATTATTTGGAAAAAGTATAAAATTTTGATATCATTTAACAACATTTTTTTTGAGTTAACTAATAAAATAAATAATTAACAAAATGTCTGATGAGAAAAAGGTGAGTAAAATTTTCTACGTGAAGAAATTGTGGTTTTTTTTTTTAACATGAGGAGGTAATCCCTATTAGACGCCGCGCCGACATGGCGCGGCTTTGTAAAAAAAAAATTTAATAAGGAACATTTGTTTGATAGTGCAATTTAATATGTTAAATATAAATGTACATTTGTTAAAATTAAAAAGACAAAGATATTTTTTGACTATATTTAAAAAAAGGATTTTTCTAATTTTATTCCGAATATGTATTACATTTCTGCATCGGAAATCTAATGTGGTTGAAAAAAAAATTTATTTCATGTGCTGTATAATTTACAGGGTGGTAACTTGTGCTCAAAATTAAATGTGCGTCATTAATGATCTTAGACTTAGACCCAATTATGATCAATAGAATATAATGCCGTTTGCTTCCATTTTAATAACAAATTAAATGGAAAACATTTTATTAGCATTAAGTTTACATATATATCTATATATATCCGTATGTACATACATGGTTTCTCAATAGTGAATACTTGTACAGTACAGGGTGGCATTTTATTTTAAATTGTAATTCTGTATACAACGAATGTACATGTACACATATAGCTGCTGTGTGCATAAAGATATACATATAGACGCATATGTGTATAAATAATAAGTTACAAGTTAAAGCTTTGATAAAAAAACCAAGTTGAGGATATTTTTGTGCATCGCTTATACTTTTAATGTTTGTACAAAGTACCTACGTCCATATATACCTATAAAAAATGTCTGGCGAATTTCATAATATTTTTGAAAATGGCAACTATCCTGGGAACCTAATAAAGATCCGATTTACACTTATTTGTGAAATTCAAATTATACTAAAATTTTAGGTTTTTGTTTTTACTTTTTTTTATGGACATTTTCAGCATTTAAAAATCATAATTTTCAAACGATAAAGAAAATTTTAACCAAATTTAATTATATTTGCAGGGAACAGAATCAGAGCACATCAATTTGAAAGTATTAGGACAGGATAATGCGGTCGTTCAATTCAAAATTAAGAAACACACTCCCCTAAGAAAATTAATGAATGCATACTGCGATAGAGCGGTAAGTAAAATTTTAACTTGAATTTAGAATTAGTCCAACTGTATATGTGCTATATATACAAGTATATATTTGATATTTTTTGTGTGTTACTGAGATAACATTACCTTAACAAATGTATGTAATATTATAAATTAAAGTAGATCACGGTAACTGTTTTGTAATTTTTACGATTTTAAAAGAAAGATTGTTATTTTGAAATACATACTTATATTTAATTAAGCAACCTGTTAGCCATACCCACCATATTATCGAATACAAACTAGAATTTTTACATATAATTCAGATGCGATTTTGTAACGCATGCTTAGATAATTCGTAGATTTATTCTGTTGTCCGATCTTCACATCCTTTATATTTGATACTATTGCCTTTACAAAGAATGTCAAAGAATATTTTTGCTCCAGTTAAAGATATAGCTTCTATTAGCTATACTAAGTGTAAATATCGACTTTGAAGGTCAATTGCATCGTAGATGTAGAAATTAAAATCTATTGAGCGAAAATATCGCTCAAAATGTTGATTTATTAGATCGTAGACACGAATCTATTTAATTTCAGTCAAGCTTCATAACTGAAGTCGTTGAATTTATGCAGACAAGAACATTGATTTCAAATTTTTATTATGTATTACAAAGGTACCTAAATCTTTTCAAATTGTTTGGCATCTATTTCCAATTCAATATCAAAAAATGTTCTTAATCTAATAAATTTAACTTTTGTGTTTTTTTTTTATTTTTACATTTTAAAAATTTCGCCGATTTTTCAAAATCGTCCTTAAAAATCCCATTCATGTTTAAGTTTTTATGTCGTGTAAAGTGTTACTGACAAAATATTTTAATTATAAATTAAGTAACCTAGTTCTGCTCTTGTTTTTTTTTTTTTAAATAAAATTTAAAATTTGAAGCATACAAAAAATAAAAAATAATGGGAAACGAGGGTAAGCCCGAAATATGTAAATATATTTTGCCGAATATTATTTTCGAGTTTGTGTTTTCTTTTGTTTATTTTTTTGAGCTTTTAGTATCTTTACTTAGTTTATAATTTATAAATTTATTACATATTTACATAAGTTTTAATTTTTTATTTTTATGTTTCGTATTTTTAGGGTATTTCAATGCAAGTGGTGCGATTCCGTTTTGATGGGCAACCAATAAATGAAAATGATACACCTACATCATTGGAAATGGAAGAAGGCGATACAATTGAAGTGTACCAGCCACAAACAGGAGGGTATTTTTAAGAATTATTAAAAAAATTGAAAAATTAATACAAAAAAAAAGAAAAAAAAACTTCACCATTAATATTAAGAATTTCCTTATAAAATAATTTCCTTAAAATACAAAAAACAAATTAACGAAAAATGAAAAACTTAAATTTTTTTTGATTAAAGCTACTCTTAGTGTGAACAAAATCAAAACACTCACTCAAATGCATATTTTGATTTCTTTTGTGTAATAAATAAATATTCTGACATGAGTAATAAAATTAACGTAGAAAATAAAAATACAATATCGCAAAATTATTGTAAAATTACTAAATGTAACTAAATATAAATTGATGGTCTACAACTATAACCGACTATTCTCATTTAACAAAAATCTGATTTTCGAATTTGTGTGTACACATCAATAAATTTTTGTTTTTTTTTTTTTTTTGTGTTACAATGACTAGATTTTTGAAGAAAGATTAAGAAAAGAAATCGGAATATTCAATTTCAGTTTAAAAGAACGAAAGTAAATAAGAACACAACTGAGATTCGTCTTCAAATACTTATCTCGAAATTTTGAAAAGATGAAAAAAAATTTTTTTTGAACATTTTGAAATATGAAATGCTTACAAATTAATCTTTTTTTATATTATTATACATCTATAAAAAAAAATATATTTAAACTTTAAGGAATATGTTTAGCTATTAATATTAAATGAAAAAAAAATAAACATTTAAAATTAAAAATAAATATTTAAAAAAAGAATTTTTATTTTAATCCACATGGAAAATTCAAAAACTATTTATTTAAATAATGAATCTTTAAAGCCAATTATTATGTAGGTAAACATTACCAATATCTGATAGGAACAGTAATGTTCCTATTGCCTAATTTCTTAAAAAAGTTTCAAGAATTTTTAAAGAAGGAAGCTAGTAGGTCCCAATTCGTATATTGGGGATTTTGGAAATGCACTTCAGGTTCTTTGCTTTTTTTAAAACACATGGAGCATCTATAGATTTTCAACTTTTGATTTATCAAATTTACCTTATATATTTTTTTGGTTAGTCAATTTGTGCTTAAGATTGCTTTTAACGATTACATGTTTAGGTTTGATTTCACATCCTTTTTCCCTATGTCAAAAAATTACCGAATCAAAATTTTCTTTCTTAACATGGTTTGCCCGCAATTATCAATATTTTTTTTAAATTTTGCTTTAGTTCATTAATTATTGATCTTTCCATATAACCGGAAGAAATAAAAAAAAGAATATGGGAGTTCTAAGGTCAATATTAATAATTAAAAATAGAAATTATGTGTTCTTAGGCATATCGTATAATAAAAATTGAAATGAACTTGTTCAGGAACAACAAGAAGTAAGTAATAGTAAATTATTTATTATGTGAGTTTGCATGGTGACTTGCGTCAATGGTTGAGGTATGTTTCATTAAGTGTGTGAAAAAGTCGTCGTATAAACAAACTATTAGTGTTAAATGTGAAACGAACTTGGTTTTACTTGCAATGCTAGAAAGGGATATTTATTTCGTTAATATAATTAGGGAGATAAGTGAGTTGGTAACTAATTTGAACTAGTGAGATAAATGCTAAAATTGTGTGGAAATATAGGGTATTATTTTCAGTATGGAATCACTAATTTATCGTAAGTTTCAAAAACTTATTATAGTTGCGAATCATTTGTAAGAGAAGGTTTGTGTTTTGAATCAACTTCTGAACTGATTATTTTTAACAATTTACCATTAGCAAGTTTGTATCAAAAATATCTTCAAATTTTAGAGCATGCGTTACATTTTTGAACGCAAACTTTTGTGTTGTGCGTAATTGCTATATTTCATTATCAAAAATTCTACAGAACTTTGTAAAGGAAAAGAGCCAAAAATACATTAATCTTTTCCCTTTGTTAAAAAGGAACTGGTAGAGTGCCTATCAATTTCGACCTGATATGAAACATATAATGGTAAATTTTTACATAATAATGTTGCTAAAATTCGAATTTCCCTTTGGCAAAAGGAAAATTAAATTATTCAATGGACTTCGCATTTGATTTTTGATGTTATTTTTAATGTTATATTCAAAAACACTAATTAAAATAATTTAATATTTATTTGAAGGGCTTATCAACTCAGGTCGTACGATTCCGTTTTGACGGCCAGCCAATTAATGAAAATGATACTCCTATGTCTTTGGAAATTAAAGAAGGCGATACAATTGAAGTTTATCAGCAACAAACTGGCGGATTATAAAAAAAATGCAATAGTTAAGTGTTAATAAAAATAAAAATTAAAACATTAAACACCTTTTTATTCACTTTGTATACAAATGCATCATAATGTCTAATAACAATAATTGTGTAATATTTTTAAACCGAAATGTCTTTTTAAAATTTGTGCTCCGTAAACAAAATTATGATGTGTACACGAATATCAATAAAATGTCGAATTTATTGCAAAAGATTTATTATTTATATAAAATTTATTTAATCTGTTGTAAACAAATTCAAATATTCTGTTGTACCGAAATTTTTTCAAAGTTTATTTTATTTTTTGTATGTACAAAAGAAAAAAGTCTTGTTACTTAATTTTATTTTCAATTTTTTTTTTTTTGTCAAAAATGGATTTTACAATTTTAATTTAATGGATTTATCTTTTGTTCAGTACAGAATAAATTTCATTAAGAGGCAACTGTAATGGATACTATTAAACTTTTTAAAAATAAAAGATTTTTTACAATTATTAAGAATTGTAAAAATATTTGTGTAACATTAACCCAGAAACAGTGACAAAAACATACAAGTGGAAATTGTAATCTATAATAGTAAATCGCATGACAACAAAACTACTTCCTTTTTTTGTTAAATGGTAACAGTGATAAATGGAATGTAATTTCGAATTCGAAAACGAACGACCGAACGAGTTGTCAAATTATTTTTAAAGGAATTTTTTTTTTATCGAAATAAAAATTAAAAAAAATTTGTCAATTATTTTTAATTTATAGTTCGAAATATTTCTTAAATGGGATTATAATAAGATATGAGAAGAGTGATTTAGAATTTAATTTCATATCACGGGATTAATTTGATAAATCTTTTAAGCGTGAACATTAAAATATAGAAAGTATCTAAAGCAATATAACCTACCCACACAAATGCTTTAAAATTTTTGATATAAGTATAAATAAGTAAAGAGAAAACAATATTTTGTATTAAAATTTAACAATTTATATTTATTAATTTACAATTTAAAAAACGAATATTAGCAAAAGTGTAGAAAATGAACAGAAAAAGGCCAGGCCCAGGTTTAAAAATTAATTTCGGGCAAACTGAACCTGAACCAGTACCAATGTAAGTTTAGAACAAAAAATGCTAGGAAGTAAATACAGTGTTAAAGAATTACCATTTCCTTAATTTTTTGTTTAATTATTTGATAAGATATTATTTTTAAAAATTAAACAAATATCTTTTTTTTGTTTTATTAAAACATATAAATTAATATAGCGTTCCGCGAAATTTAGATTCAAAAGCTACATTTAAAATTGGCGAAAAAACATTCGAAGCTGAAGCGGATGAGCTTGAAAAAATACAAGATTTAGGTAGAGGGGCATATGGAATTGTAGAAAAAATGAGACATCGTGAAAGTGGGACTGTAATGGCTGTCAAAAGAATTACAGCAACAATAGAGAAACAAGAACAAGTAAGTTTTCTGTTTTTAAAATAAATAAAATATGAATTTTAACTATTTGATTATGATAGCGACGTTTGTTAATGGACTTAGATGTTATGAGAACTAGTAATTGTGAGTTCACTGTGCAATTTTATGGTGCATTATTCAGAGAAGGAGATGTTTGGATCTGCATGGAATGTATGGATACAAGTTTAGATAAATTTTATCCAAAAGTTTTTCAACATAATAAAGTCATGACTGAAGATTTTTTAGGCAAAGTAAGTACTTAATAAATATTTAAAATTATAAATAAAAGACGATATTTAACAAATGCAAAATTTTCAAACATGGCATAACTTAAAAAATTATAAAAGAAAATTGTGGATTTGAAAACTCAATTTGTACTTACTATATTTTGCCTTTAAAATTCTGCGAAATGAAAATTGCATTTAATGCCAACTGATTGAAGGTTTCATTTCTCAAAAAAGTAAAGGCGATTTTTTGTATATTCCATCATTTTAACATTTTTTTTTTTTTTGTATATTATTTTAAAATGTTTTAGATTGCAGTTTCAGTGGTTAAAGCTTTACACTATTTGCACTCAAATTTACAAGTAATTCACAGGGATGTAAAACCATCAAATATATTGGTAAACAGATTAGGAGCAGTAAAAATGTGTGACTTTGGTATATCAGGTACTTACAAATGAATTAAAAAAATTAAATATGCTTTTAAAATGATTCCAAAAATTTAGGTTTCTTGGTTAATTCTGTAGCTAAAACAGTTGATGCAGGATGCAAACCTTATATGGCACCTGAACGCATAGACATGGAAGGTATAGCTATAAATAATATATACATATATATTGGTTGTCTTAAAATTATAATGCTTTATTTTTTGTATACAATACAGTTTAAAAAAGAACAAGTTTTCTTTATTTTCTTAATTTACATATAACTAGATTATGTACAATTTTTTAAAGAACTTCTTATATTCTCAATTTTAATATTCTTAATTTTGTTTTTGTGACAGGAGATAATAAGGACAAATATGATATAAGATCTGATGTGTGGTCATTAGGCATTAGTATGATTGAAATGGCAACTGGAAGATTTCCATTTAGTAAATGGAAATCAGTTTTTGATCAACTAAAACAAGTAAAATATATTTTTTTGCAAAACAAAATTTTATTTAAATATATTTATTTGAATTTCAGGTTGTTGTTGATGACCCACCAAGATTAGAACCAGGACAATTTTCCGTTGAATTTGAAAAATTTATAGAAGCATGTTTACAGAAAGATTATAAAGCACGTCCAAATTATAAACAGTTATTAGAATCAATTGAATTTATAGTTATGCATAAAGAAAAAAATACTGATATTTCAAAATTTATTGAAGAAATTCTTGATCTTCCATAAATCTCTTTTCAAGAAATATTATTTTTTTTTTTAATTATTATTATCAATATTTCTTTTGTTGCAAATTTTGCAATGTACGATAAAAAAAATTCAAATTTAATATCATAATCTAGTTTATAAGGAAAAAATTTTGCCACTTCACAACTAAATTAATTTTTTGGTTTGTTTAATATTATTATTAATTTTTTTTCGTTTGAAATTTTTTTATTCAACCAATTTTTTTGTAATCAAGAGTTTTTCTTTTTAAATAGTTTGCCATTTTATTTTTTAATTTGTTAATTGCAATAAGATGATTTTCTTTTACTTTAAAGTTTGCTAATTTAAATCGAAATACAAAAATTAAAATGTTTATTATATAATAAAAAAGGAACGAAATTAATTGTTAAAATTTAAACGAAGAAAAAAAGAAATTAATATAAATTTTAAAACAAAAAAAAAATAAAATTATACATTAAAAAAGTAGTTAAAAATGTTATTGAGAACAAAGAAGAAAAAAAGAAGATAAAAAAATTATAAAAATAAATACAAAAAATAAAAAATAATAAAATTGAAAAAAAAAGATTATTACCAATAATTAAATAAAATAACAAAACATTCAAATATGGGTTTTTTTTTAAATTATATAATAATTAAAAAATCTAGAGGATATTTAGATAATAAAACGGAAAGTTTTCTATTTATTTTTCAAAATAAACGCCTACATTACTACATTCTATTTACAGTGAGAATTAAAGATTATAAATTTAAATAGAAAGATTTATGAATTTTATTCATTAAAAGAAATAATATACATATATGTATGTTTGTCAAAAATTTTTCAAGTATACATAAATAATGTAGTAGTACGTGACTCTTACAAAACTAAGTAAACAAAATAAATATACACAACATAATATTAAAATTAGGAAATTCAAAGAAACTTTATTGTTTTGCTAAATTGTTACCATAATTCAAACAACTATGATACTACTTTCTTTATTATGGTATGTTTATATAGCTATAGAATTGCAACAAGAGATCCCTTTTTTATTCCTATTTACATACATAATGTAAATAATTTGAAAATCATTGTTAATTGTAAATGAACATGATACGGGTTCCTAAACAGTATTATATAGTGCGTAAAGTTTTCTCAGGGCATAAAATTTGAAAAAATAACGAAAACTTTATTCAATATTGCTTCTTAAACGTGAATTAAATTTAAATTGTAAAATATATATGTATACAGAAGAAATGGAAGAGAAAAGAATGAATCTTTTGTTAAAAAAAAAAATATAATGTGATGTGAGAAAAGTCCATGTTATTTAATGAATTAATCTGATTTGCCTAATATTTACTATATTAATTTAGTAATAATAGCTTTCTGAAACAGATTTTTTCTTTTCTTAAACGTTTCACTGCAATAATAGCCCAGCTCATAATATTGATTTTATTAATTTTACAAAAATATCAGTAGTTCTCCAGAATTACGAATTTTATTAAAATTGTATGTCTTGTTCTTTTAGTTATTTTTATTAACAATTTTAATTAATAGTTTGATATTATAATATTAAACAGTTAAAATTAATAAATAATAAATTAGCTTGTGGTTTAATTGAAAAAATAAATATTGAAACAAATTGATTTTCATATTTCTATTATCTTGTCAAAATTGTTACAAGGGATTATTTATGATATCTTTGTACTATTTCTTGCTAATTTTACGTATACCTACTCTGTCAACAAAAATCGCGTCAGCGAAAAAATTAAAATTTCGAACAACTGTTATCAAAAAGGAATATTATTCTAGACTTAAAATCTGGTATTTTTTTCTTGATAATTTTAAATAGATGGTAAATATGTAGGTATAACAAATATAAAATTTTATTAATTTTGGTGTTATTTTAAGGCACCTTTTATATGCATACAAATATGTTATGTTTTTCAACATAGATAATAATATGTACATTGGGACCTACCTACAGATCATACAAACAAGTTCTAGAGAGAAGTTGTAATACAAGCCTTTATAATAAAAAGAATAAAAATTTCTTTTGAAAAGAAAAATGAGGACAAGGAACAAACAGAAAAATCAACTTTTTGCAGGTACCGATGCTAAATTCCTCATACATACAAACATGTATTAATATACACATCTAGAAGTTTGAAAAAAACAAAATTTTTTTTAGGGTGGTCCATTTTTGAGTAAAAAAACCATCAACTGTTGAAAATTCAGTTATAAAACGTTAATTTTGTTTTAAACATTATTTATACTCAGGGGAATTCGGTGAGAAATAATTAAATTATTTTTTTTTTAATAAATTCGGTATTCGTTGAACTGCTTCAAGATTTACTCCTTTGATAGCAAATATGTTAATCTAGAACTGGGCGTGCATTAACGTCAATAATATTAATGTCATAACAGAAATTTTAACTATTAGTTTATATAGTATATAGCATTGTTTGAAAAGCAATTATAGACCGCACCAGCTTTGGGTTAATGTATGAAGAAAAGTATGTTCTTCTTTCTCTTATAATAAAGCAATTTTTATTTAAGCCCTTTCCTACTATCTTGTTTTTAAATTAACATTATATTTATTATTTTTATATATGAAGGTACTTGCTTTCATTAAATATACTGTAAATTATTATACTATTGTTCTACTATTTATGCACAGATTATGTAGCTGTACTTACATACATGCTTACATACATATGCATATGTAAATTACATATTTTAAGCCCAAGTTCAGTTATATGATTATATCGTACACATATAGTAAAGTACACAAAGCAGAGACTCTCAGGTCAACCACAATCAAAACAAATCTCGAATTATACTTGAAATTCGAAAAGAGATTTAAAATATTTTTTTTTGTTTCTATTTTCTTCTTGTTAAAAATATGCTGGCGTTTTTTATACCCTGCACTTCGTGAAGGGTATATTAACTTTGGTATGGAGTTTGTAACTACTTGAAGGAGTCATCTGCGGTATGGACATATATATATATTCTTGCTCAGCGTAAAATTCTGAGTCGATTTAGACATGTCCGTCTGTCCGTCCGTCCGTCCGTCCGTCCGTCCGTCCGTCCGTCCGTCCGTCCGTCCGTCCGTCCGTCCGTCCGTCCGATCGCACGATAACTCAAAAACGCATAATGCAATCGGCACCAAACTTTCACAAGTTTTTTCTTTTGTGCCAAGGACGAGCCCTATTGTTATTGGACTAATTCGGACAACGGGTTCGGGTAGCTGCCATACAACTCAAAGAGTTTATTTTAAATATTTCAAAAACTAATAAAGGTATAAATATAAAATTTTGTATACATGTGTCCAATTATATTCTACACATGCTCTAAAAATTATAATGGGGTAGCTGCACCGGTTCGGGTGGCTGCCATACAACTCCAACAGCAAATTTTTTATATTCGGCAAAATAATAAAGTCAGATCCATGAAACTTGGCAGTCATGTGTCCAATTATAGGTCAAATATATTTCTGAAGTTTTAGAGGAATCGCTTGACAGGTTCGGGTACCTGACATACAACTCCAGAAGCTAATTTTAAATATTTAGAAAAATAATAAAGTCAGATTCATGAAACTTGGCAATCATGTGTCCAGTTATGGCTCAAATATATTTCTGAAGTTTTGGTGGAATTGCTCGACAGGTTCGAGTAGCTCCCAAACAAGTCTAAAAGCTTATTTTAAATATTTGGAAAAATAATAAAGTCAAATTCATGAGACTTGGCAGTCGTGTGTCCAATTATAGGTCAGACATATTTCTAAAGTTTTGGTGCGATTGCTTGACAGGTTCGAGTAGCTCCCATGCAAGTCTAAAAGCTTAATCTTAATATTTGGAAAAATAATAAAGTCAGATTCATGAAACTTGGCAGTTGTGTGTCCGATTATAGATCTGATATATTTGTGAAGTTTTGGTGGAATTGCTTGGCAGGTTCAGGTACTTACCATACAACTCCAAAAGCTAATTTTAAATATTTGGAAAAATTATAAGGTCAGATTCATGAAACTTGGCAGTCGGATGTCCAATTATGGGTCAGACATGTCCGTGAAGTTTCTATAGAATGATTTTAGAGGTTCAAGTAATTGCTACACAATAACGAAAGGTGCAGGGTATAATTCAATCGGTTTATACCGACTGAAACGTTTTTACTTGTTTTTATTTTATTTATGTATTTTAGTTTGGGTTTTTGTTTCATTAACTATAGTAGCCAGAGTATAGGTATAATTTCTAGAATTAAAAATCAGTTAAACAAGAGATTTGAAAAAGGAATAATGTGGGCGCGAGAAAATTTAAAGGAACGAAATTAAATTAGATACACACAGTAAAGTAAAAGGATTAAAAATTTTAATAAATGAAATTAATTTCAAAGAATAAAAATTGGAAGTTGGATTTTATTCTATTAGAATTATTTTGTGAATATAAAGAAAGATTATGCAGTAAATAACCTACTATTGGAGTGGTGATTTTGCCATAAACAAAAAACATACAAGTGTTTAGTTCCTATCTAACTCTATTGAGTTTAAATTAATTTTTTTAAAAATAACACGAACAGTATTTTTAGAGCGTAATATTATACGACTAAGTCTTCCTATTAGCTTATTAATGTAAAAAATTGTGATATTTTCTTTGGAAAATTAAAAAAAAAAAAATAATAATAAAGAAAATGAAGAGTCTAGATGATTACGAAGTAGTTTCAATAATTGGAAATGGTTCATTTGGAACATGTTTTAAAGTTAAAGATAAAATTACAAATAAAATTTATGCATGGAAAGCAATTAATTATGATGATGATTTTGAAGAATCTAAAAAAGAAATTCTAGATACTGAAATTGGATTCTTACAACAATTAAAACATCCAAATATAGTGCAATATTATGATAATATATGCAATATTGAAACAAAAACAATTTTTATTATTATGGAATATTGTGATGGAGGTGATTTACAAAATTTAATAAAAAAATGTCAAAAGGAAAAATTAAAATTTGAAGAAAAATACATATGGAAAGTTTTATATCAAATATCAAAAGCATTACAATTATGCCATAATAAAATTGCAGAAGGTTGCATTTTACATCGTGATATTAAACCAGCAAATATATTTTTAGATAAATGTGGTAATGTTAAATTAGGTGATTTTGGTTTAGCTAGAATTTTAAAACGTAATCAACAAAATTTTGCTGAAAGTTTTGTTGGTTCACCATATTATATGAGTCCAGAAATAGTTAAAGGTCGTAAATATGATAAAAAATCTGATATGTGGGCTGTTGGCTGTTTAATATATGAAATGTGTTGTTTAAAACCACCATTTAGAGGTAATCGTTTTGAACAGCTATCTGAGAATATATCAAATGGTCAATTTAATTCGATACCAAAATCATATTCAAAAGATTTACAAGAAATTATTTCATTTATATTAGAAGTAGATAGTGAACAACGTCCAAATGTTGAAATAATATTAAGACATCCAGTATTCATAAGAAATTTAAATGATTTAAAAGCTGATTTTCCGAAACTTTTACAACAAAATGATGATGATATGATAGCGGATAATAATCAATACGGAGTAAAAAAATTAATCTTTTCACCAATTACTGATAAAAAACAAAATTCAACAAATGATTTTAGCTTTGATGAATTAAATAAAACCAACAATTTTATTGTATCAAATCAAGAAATAACTGATATTAGTACAACACAGTTAAGAGCAGAATTATTTGGTTCGCCTATAAAAAAAATATCACCTAGAACAAGTTCATTTCCAGATTTAACACTTATTAATAATGAAAGAATATATGCAAATTCAATAATGACTTCAAATTATAATTATGATATTAGAGAACGTTATAGATATGACGATCCAAAAATGTTGACTAGAGATATTTTTGAGGAAGCTTTAAAACAACGTTTAGAAACGATAAGAGCTCATGAAATGCTTTTAAAACAAAGAGAAAATAATTTAATGGAAAAGGAGAAGCAGGTTTGTGCTTTAATATTTGACTAAATACTTTAAGTATATTTTCATATTTAGTGCTAAGATTTGTAAAAAAGTTCTAATTTAATTAGGTAGGTAACTGTACCTTCCTAGCAAAATTATGAGAAATCCCGATTGAATTGTGAAACTCATTTAAAAAATTGACGTCCCGAAACTAATAAGCAAATATTATTTTTTGATTCCAAGTTACTAAATTTAAAAAAGGAATCACTATATATCAAGGTCCGTATAACTGTAAACTGTGTCTGTTTTATTGGAAAGAAAAAATTTCAGTCTTCCACTTTAGCGCGCTTGACCTTGTCTACTTTAATTATTTAAGATACTTATATGTGGATTTCTGAAAATTCCACAAAATTTTGTTATTGAAAATCTGGATACTAGAACAAAAGAAAGTTTGCCTTGTAACGGTATAGCTATTTGTCTGCACTTACAAAACTATAAGTACAAACCTACGTTTTTTACAAAATCTTTTATTCAACAACAGTTTGAAAAATAATACTTACATATATAATATTTTTTAATTTTTTTTTTTGTAGTTGATAGAACATGAAAAACGTTTAATTTCACTTCAAAAGGATTTAGAAGAAAAAAAGCATCATGTTGAAGGAATGCTGAAAAAAGTTGCAACGGAAAAACGTCAATTAACAAAACGTTGTCCAAAGCGACGTACTTTAAAAACTTTGGAGACATCTTACTGTTCAATTGAGCTAAATGAATCTGTTATAACACCAACTGTTGCAAAATTGGAAATATCTTCGATGCCACCACCATTAGGAATGTTAAGAAATAACCATAGAAAATCAGTTACATTTAGTTCTCCCAAACAAATAGTAAAAATTAACAAAGAGAATATTCTACAATTACAACCAATAAGAGATGCAAAAAACAATAATTTTCATTCCAGTCATTCTAGTAAAACAAGTACTGAATCGGAAAATAGTGTTAATAAAAATTCTAATAATAAAAGACGTTCTATTTTATCACTTTTTGGACTAAACAATTCACAAAAAAATAAAACAAATCATAACAATAATAACAATTCTAATAGTAACCTCAATAATGATTTTAATAAGAGTAGAAAAGAAACTGATGAAAAAGCTAAAACTTTAATTACAAAGAATTATAATCAAAGCAAAGTCAGTGAAAATAATGAATTGGAGATATTAGATAAAGTTAATTCAAATGAAATAACACAGATTTGGACAAAAGAGAATAAAAAAGCTGCTTTTGATATGCTCGCTGCAATGAACAGTGCTGCTGATAAAGATTTTGATTTTCAAAACAATTGTACAAATTTCACTAGTTCTCAGAGAAATTCAAATTTACGAAAGACCACCCGAGATCGAGGAACAAGTTTAAATCGATCAAGTAAACTAAGAAGATCTGCTGTTTATTTGTCGCCGAATACATCAGGAAATCGTATTTTATTGTAAATCAATATAAATTTAAATTGAAATAAAACATAAAGATAAATAAAAAATCTAGCACTTTTTAATGATAACGACAGTAATTTTAAGTTCTTCAAATAAAGAATTCATCTCGGAAGCACAAGTGCAAGACTGTGATTCGTACATTTCCCACTCAAATAAAAAATTGAAGTTTAATAGCAAATAAATAAATTTAAATTACATTTTCTATTTACACACTACTTATTTACAAATTTTTAAATAAGTATTCTAATTAAAATACTTCAAAAACCTTAATTTAAAAATTTATAATCAAAATGCTTGAAAGCACAAGTTACTCTGGCACAGAAATATCGGAATTAAAATTTTTTTTTAATTATATTGACCTTTACCAAAATTATGCAATAGCTAAGTATTTAATAAATAATGTCACAGAATTTGGTATAAGATTTTCAATAAGTGGTACAATTTATGACCATGAATCTTCACGAATTTCCGAATTGAAAAAACAGATGTCTCAATGCCTATTCAAAACTCTTAACGAATTTATTGATCGTGTTATTGAAAATGATTATATTATTTACGATATAAGTTCGAATTCAAGTGAAATAACGGAAATTGAAAAGGTTTTGGATGCATTAGAAAAATTTTACGAAAATGATATTGAAAATAAATTGGCAATAAAATATTTTATATTGTTGTCTACTCCATTAACATGGGGTACAACAGAAGCAAGAAATAATGAAGGATGTTTATATGAATCAGAATATTCACGAAGAAGATCTCATTCATCGTATACGAAACATAAGCATATTGAACATATAGTTAATCTTTTTGAGAAAAAAGTTAATGGTAAAGTTCGTACCTTGATAATATGTCCTGGTTATTCATTTGGTGAATCAAATGATATATTTCACTATATATTTAAATTAGCTTATTTAAATAAACAAAAAATACCAATTGTTGAACCTGGAAATCAAGTAATTCCAATTATTTATGTAAAAGATCTCGCAAGGTAAGAACTGAAATTAATTTTAAGAGTTAATATTATTATGAATGTAGAAATTATGTATGTATATGTAGTTGCGTATAGTTGAATATTTTAAAATGTAAATAATATATTTTTATATAGGATAATTGGAAAAATTATTGGAGATTTTCCTCCATCTGAAAAAAAATATATTTTTGCTATTCAACCAAATTTCTGGACAATAAAATCTTTTACTCGTGCAATTGTTAATTCTGTAGCAGGAAATGTAATGAAAGTTACCATTATGCCAAAAAATTGTTTGATGAACTATGAAGAGGATTTATTTCCGGTAATAATTGATAAGATTAAAAACAGTAATAAAAAAACAATAAATTTACTAAATAAATAATTTGCTAATTAAGTATATAAAATAAATATAAGTATTAATTCAATAATACGTTAAAATAATTTATAAATTATTTTAAGCAACGGGTGATCGATGCTATTACAACTCCGCTTAAATTGGTTCCCACCTATTTAAAAGATTTCAAATATACTTTCACAAATATAGAAGAAATTGGAAAAGTGTTAGTCAACGAATATCGAATAGAACGTAATTTATTACCAATAAAAATTTTGATTGATGGTCCACCGTTATCAGGGAAATCCATGATCGCCAAAGAAATAGCTGAATATTATAATTTAAATTATTTCGATCCAATGACAGCTGTACAATTTGTTACAAATAAATTACAAAAGAATATAGCCACTGCTAACAAATTTCTTTTTAATTTGGAAAGAGAAAAACTTCAATTAAAAAACGAAAATGATTCTGAAGTACAAAAATTGGAAAAGAATACTAAAGAATTAATAGAAGAATGGCAAGAATACTTGAAGGATTTATCAAATTATGCCTCTATTAAACAAAAATGTCATGAAGAAACTCTAAAATATCAAATAAGGTAATTCTAGAGACATTGTACAGTACATATAATAAACCCAACCACTAACTGTAGATGTATAAAAACAATCATTGCATCAAAATTATATTCAGAGAATCAAGGGTATGTGATTGACGGATTTCCATTCACATATATTCAAGCTTCAGAAATTTTTTTGCACACTGATTTTGACGAAAACGAACAAGGGAAAAATGTTGAAACGCAACTATATACGAACGAATTCACAGAACCACAGTCAAAAAAGTTCAAGACTAGTTCAATTATGCCAAATTTCGTTGTCTTTTTAAATATATCAGATGAATTAGTTTTTAAACGTGGGATGGAGCTATCATGCAAAGAAGTTCTTGAAACTGGTAATAATGAAGAAAATGTTTGCCAACGTTTAGAGGAGTTTAGAGAACGTGATGAGCATGAAGACACTAGTCTTACGAACTTTTTTTATGACTATAACGTTATCCCACAGTGCTTTGCTATAAATGAAGATTCTATATATAATGAAATTATTGACGCCATAAAAATCAAAATTGGATCTCCACATACGTATCCTCTAACACCATTTGAGAAAATAAAAATTAAAAATGCAGAAATATGTAAAAAGAAAAAATTGGATGAGGAATTTCAAAAGAAACAAAACGAAATTAGGTCAAAAATCCAAGCAGAGCGTGAAACAAAGCTCCGTCAATGGGTAGGTTTATCGTTAACGAATTATTTTATTTATAGGAATAGACATTATCATTTTTACCTTCATTTCAGACACATGAATTTGAAATTCTAAAACATGAGGAAGATATGGCAGCTGAAGCAAAATCACTACCATTTCGTCAATATTTGGCAAAGTTTGTGCTTCCAACTTTAACTGAAGGAATTTTGGAAATAGTACGTGTAAGACCTGAAGACCCAATTGACTATTTAGCAGAATTTTTATTTAAAAATAATACTCCTGGTCATATAACTTCTGACAAACACACTCAAGAAATGAAGAAATTGCTGCTAGGCGATGAAAATGAAAGTATTCTCAGTACGTTGGACAGTTATATTTTAAACGAAAATGAATTCAAATGTATGGACTCTACGGAAGAGCGCTAAATTTCTAAGCAATAATTTAGTTTCCACGTTTTTTCCTGATACCACAAATTTATAATTTAATATTAGCAATAACTAAGAACTACATGTCATTTTTTTGTTATTATTCTATTCTGGATCGTAACCGTACAAAGGAGCTTCTAAATAAGCTCTATGCATATCACTAGAATTTCTACGTATTCTTCTACCTATTGGTTCTAAGTCAGCATAACATTTTGGAAAGACTCTTTCAACTGCATCAATTGCTAAAATGAAAAATGAATTTATAAAATTAAACAAAGCAAAAAAAAATTACTGTTACCTTCATTTCTAGTAACGTTTCTAACAGCTAGCACAGAATTTAAGGCTTTGGTTTTTACACAATTTTGATGTGCTTCTTTAATATTGAAAAAAGATGCATCACCTTGAGCCATTGCACTAAAAAATGAACAGTGAGCTAAGTTTGCAGCGCGGATTTCTGTACAAGCTAAATGATCAATATTTTTAAAATCCAAGTCATTGTTGCAGTAATCAAACATATGAATCATTTCATGAGTTAACACTCCTTGCACCATTCCCTAAATAATAAATTACAAGCAAATAATTATGCACATTTAAGTGAACCTATCTATTTAAAGGTTTACCTCGTTTCTTGCCATATTTTGACAAACCACAATTTGGTTGTTGACAGGATCCTAAAAATACATTTCAAATTAATAATAACTACAGCGACAAAATAGAAAAGATTTACGTATCCTCCAGTCACTGTTGTGTCACAAACTTCACAAGAGATATGTCTTCTTATATCAATTGGGCAACCTGAGCTCTTTAAAGCACCCATCATTAATTTAACTAATGGACTATTTTTCACACACCAAAAAACATTGCGTTCACATCTAATTTTGTCAGTTGTTTCACGTCCTTCCAATCCAAGCAAAACTCTACCCCATGATGGCTTAAATGTTTCACCTCGTCTTTCTGGGTATAAATCATAACCCCATTCTTTGCCTTGCTTATTTTCTTGTTCAGGTTGTTTTTGGTTTTCGGTTTTAGGCAAAACTTCTTTATTTTTTGACTCTGCAGCCTCTTTTCCTACCATTTCAATTAAATACGCTAACTGATATTTTATAACCAATTTAATTTAAAAATAATTTTGCGAATTACAAAATCAAAACAAATGATAACACACTTGCACTTATACATACATACATACATACATTTTTTAAAAAACACAAGAATCAATCAGCTGATAGCCAGTTTAGAATGAAATTAGTTGTTAAATTTAACAAAACGTAAAAAGTATCTACAAGATTTGTCTCGTAAGGAATATCGGCAATAGCATTATTAAAGATTTTTAAAAAATTAAGAGAGGAAGAAAAGGTGAGACCTACTGGATTATTTTTGTAATCCATATCTTTATATGTATGAATTAATCCAGCAAGCTGATGTGTATTTGCTAAATAGAAATCTACTTTTCTTCGGTTAACTAAATATGTATGCAGAATAGAGCAATTCACTTTAAGTTAGTAAAAAATATGACATTTGTAATTACAATTTCATTTATTTTAATTTCTATAACATATTAAACTCAGTAGGTATTTAATTATTTCTACCATGATGGTGCTTCGCCCTCTTTTAAATTTCGGCCATAAAGTGCACTTTTGTCTCTGAATCTTGTCATTCTTTCAGTTTCTTTGATATCAAGAAACCATCCTACTAGGAAGCCAGTTAAAGGTAAAGCACCCCAAAGATATTGCTTTGTTATTCCAAGTCTGACCATTCTTAATTTATGCTTTCCTTCTTCAGTTGTTCTTGTTCACGTTTCCAATTTCTGGTATGATTTAAATCTGCCAAAATTGTTGATGCAGTAAAGGTTGGGAAAAAAATCACGGCACCGTATTTCCTCAAGAACTGTTTAACTACAATGCCTGTTTTTGCCATAAACTAAAAAATAAAAGAAAATTATGTAATTCAATTGAATTCGTTCTTAACCATAACAAAATAAAATAAAAACAGTTCTATAATTAAAATTTACAACTGATTAAAGATCTCTCAGTGTTATTAAAATATTAAATAGAAATTAAATTATCTTAGAATTTTCACAAATGTTCAAAAATAAAAAAATCTCAATACTAACCAACAAAAACAATGAAATAAAATGAAATAGTTTCGAATTGACAACTATATGTGTCAATTTGTGTCAAAAATTCAAAAATAATGGCAACTTACAGAATATTCAATGACATCTAAATTAGAAATGCCGTTTGTATGAAATCAGGATTTTATTGTTTTACATGCAGGTTTCATTAACAAACGTGTGGAGCATAGATTACCAAAGCAAAAAATATTTTATTATATTAATAATCAAAACACCCGAATTTTAGATTCTCTAAGAATATTCTGTCGCCAAAAGAAATATTTCTCGATAAAAATTTTTTGTGGGAGGTAAAGAAAACTTATTCAGTTTAAATTTCATTTATAATATCTTATAAAATTCTTTGAAGGAATTCGTTCTAGAAGCCCCATTTCAAATTTCTACTTATTTTAGAGTTCCCAGAATATAAACATTTTTTTTAGAAAGAATTGGTTTTATTAGAGAGAAAAGGAAAGATAGATTCTATTGTCAATCTAATAGTTAAATATGTCTATGGTATTTTCGCAGTTAAGTTTTATTTATTTTTTAGAAAGGATATAACGGAAAAAGGAAAAAACCTTCCGATATTTGTGTTAAATGGAAATGAATAATCTGCACTCAGCATCTTCTATAACTGGCTTTATTGCTTTCTTTCTTATAGCAAATAATATTGTAAAGCAAATAATTTAACTTGATACATATTTATAAAAGCGATATTTTTTCCAAAATCGGGTTAAATTGGTACTTCGGGTTGAATTGGATTTTAAATTTCTTGGACATCAATAAATGAAATGCACAAAGATAGTAAGTAATTTTGGAAAAATAATTAAATAACTTTTATCATGTCAAGAAACATACATAAGCTCTATTATTAGGCTACTATGCTGTAATATAGCTCCAAACTTTCTCCTGAAAACATTAATTTTTATTTTATTGACTAACAGTATGTTATTGTTTAAGTTTCCTATAAGTTAGGATTCCAATTGTAAAAGAAGGATACTCATACCATATTATTAAACTACAGTGTACAAGTAGAAATTATATTTTTGTATGTATGTATATGTATACAAAACACTTAAAATAATTTTTTTTAATTTTCAACAATACATTTAAATAATACAGCCCAGAATAAAATGTTTGCGTGCATGTAATTAGTATTTCTAGGGAAATAACTTGGTTTTCGGACAAACTATGTACATATACATTGCGTTTCTATATTAAAAAATTAATTAAGTTACCTATAATACCTTTTAATTTACTAAAAGAAAAATCGTTTTTAATTTTTTTTGTTTAACGTAAATTATCTATGTATATTAGAAAACCAATGTAAAAAAAAAAACATCAACTAAATTTAATCATCTTAATTTACTCAGCCTTTTTTTCAGCATTACGTAAAGCTCTCTTTCTTACAGCAAATAAATTTTTCATTACATAACTATTCAAAAAGGAATCGCAAGTTAAAGCTCTTATGGCATCAATAGCTAATTTCATTAAAGCATGTGGAAAATAACCAGTTGTATGAGCTGAAATTCCTAATGTTCTTAAAGCAGATGCAACATAACAATCAGCGGAAGGTGCCATCAATGTTGGTCTCTTTATTTTAGTCATATTTGATACAACATATCCAGGCATAACACTTTGTACAATAATTCCTTGTCCTTTATATTCTGTATTCAAATCATCAGAGAATTTATCAATAAATGCTTTAGTACCACTATATAAACATAATAATGGATTTGGAACATGTGCAGCCATTGATGAAATATTTATAACAATACCACGTTTACGTTCAATCATTTGTGGCATAATTAAACGACACATATGCGTTACAGAATTTATATTACATGTTATAATATCACGTAAAAATTTTTCATTTTGTATATTTAAAAAGAAATCTGGATAAGTATAGCTCATTCCGACATTATTAACTAATACACCAATTTCAAGATTTTGAATATTTGTTGAAATTTTTGTATATATTTCGGGACCACTTGTAAAATCAACATCAATCAATTTTACTTCAACTTGACTACATTCAGCTAAAATTAAATAATAAAATGAAATTATTAATAATTTAAAATTTTATGTTTATTCTTAGGTTGTTTGTGTTAGTGGTTAGTAAATGTTGACATACCGATTTCTGATTTAACTTTTTCAAGTTTTTCTAAGGATCTGCTTATTAAAATCACATTTAATCCTTTCTTTGCAAGCTGAAAAGATTAAAGAAATTTTGAATTAGTTCTAAATTATGCACATCTAAGATGATTTTATTTGTTAATTTTTTAATGCTTCGAATCAGAATTTTAATCGTAAAATAGAAAAATATATTGTTGTAAGTTAAATTTTATTGACTAAAATTTACATATACGCACATACATACATTAAATTGTTGTGAAGATAGAACAACTTGAACTCTTATAAATATATTCACATACACTGCATTAAATGATTTTTAATTATTTAAGATGAGCAGTATTTTAACAAAATACTCTAGCTAGAGATCAAGATTAATGAAGATGATAAAGTTCAAAGTATGATCATAATTAAGTTTTCACTTATTTTAAGACATTAAACTTTTCTCTGACAATAATTGTGTGTGTAATATTGCAGTACTAACATTGCTGTTTACACTTTGATATTTTAATTGCTTAAGGTGTCATTTAGAAATTTTTTATAAAGTGTGTACATATTTTACGTTTAGCACGACACTTGAATTTAGTATTTAAGCAGCTATAATTACTAACAAATTTTATATTAATAAAATTATATAAGCAATCCATAGTACAGAACATTTAAGTAAATATTTGTAAATTAAACAATTTAAATTAAATAATATTAAAAGTGTGCATTTTGTTTGCAGTGAAAGACTTACATATACATATATGTATATGTATAAAAATAGTATTATGCAAAAATATGGAATTTATTTTGATTTGCAAAAATATTTATTAATTTTCTTTTTTTTTATAAATTTTAATGATTTTTTCATTTGAACATTCCAATTTTTTTTTTATATAAAAATAATAAAATATCAATATAATATTCTATATAAATAATAAATATGTATTACTTATACATATTATTATTTATTGTCTTTGAATATTTGAAATTAAAATAAATTTACATTCAATAATATTTTTTTCTTGATCGTTTATCATAATATTAAAAAAGGGTATAAGAAGTAAAATCAAAAATTGTTTTCGTAACATTTCCGTTTTATTGAATTATTGACACGTACCATATGTATATGTACGTTTTTGTACTTACATAAATGTATATGTACGTATTTAGTTATGCATATATCAGAATTTTAATTGATTGGATTACATAATATGTATAAATTCCATATGAATGTTATGCATAGTACCTACCGGAGTATCTAATGAAATTAAATTTACTAGCAGGTATAGGTAAAAAATTTTAGGCATATTTTAAATAAAAACTTATTGGTAAAACAGTTGTAATCCGCTTGCTTAAAATTTTTAATCAAAAAAAATTTACAAGAACTAAAAGCTCTCGTAATTTAAAGTGATATACAAGGGGGAATACAATGATATATAAATATTACTGATTTCGGTATTCTGAATTTGAGAGAGTTTACGAGTAAATTGAGCAAAAATTAGATATTACTTAGTTAATTAGAAAATTTCTAAATTATTAAAGAAATCATTAAATTTTCTTTTAGAATCTGTAATTGAAGCATTTCATCTTATTAAACACTTTGAGATTTAATGCTGTACCAAATATTTTTTTCTTAAACTAAATTACTAAATAACGGTAAAATATATTTCATTTCTATCAAATCACAAAAAATCTTAAATATACAGGGTGTTTTCTATAGTAATGCATTGACATATATCACCGTGTAGATCGTCATATATTGACTGCGTTATAAATAATTGCATTTTGCAGATATTCACTAGAAAAATGGTACAATAGGCTAGTTAACAAGAATAGAACGAATTTCGTACCAGTTTTAGTTCAGAGATCACTTTTTTTTTTTTTTTAATCACGATAATTTATCTGAAAGTTTCCAAGTTTCATAAAGCCTAACTTGAGCCATTTTTGTTTTTGGATAGCTTGCACTCTTAAATTTTTGATGCAGCTGTTATGGTTATAGATAGTACCCTGAATTTCTTTAATTTTATAATATCTTTAGATTAAAGGATTACAACCGATAACCATGCATTTCAATATAAAATTTCATACTATAATTAAATCTGAAAATTAAAAAGATATGGCAAAGTCATACAATAAATATTCCGCACTTTTTATTGACATATGAATATGCAAATAGATATATATATATATATACATATATATTATATTTATTATTGTAAATCACTGTTATGTGCAATTTTTTGCATATCTATGCAATTTTCTTTGTTTATGTTTAAATTCTTTCAAACAAAAAATACGAAGTAAAAATTTATATCAAATAAATTGAAATTTAAATATAATATAGATATCTTTATTTAAAATTATTATTCTAAATGATTAATTAAAATGCATTCTTTATTTATAAAGTAAAATTGTACGATTATCGAATATTAAGTAGGAAACTACATAATTTATTAGAAATCTTCCATAAGATATATATGTATTATAGAAAATCAATAATTAATGCAGAAATCAATAAAATTGGTATTTTTCTATATACATGTACATAGATATATAAATATATACGTTATTTTTAATTCCTTGTATTAAATTAGAAGAATTTTTTAGCAATTATTTAGCAATGTACATAATATAATTTCGCACATTGGCCTTACAATTTCTAAATAATCTATTATACACTTATGTATTTAAATTATAACTACTCTACCTATATAAATGTGTATATACGCAAATATATTTAGTTACAACATAATTGAATTCAAATTTAATTGTAAAGAATTTAAAATATATTATATGACGTATTATGTACTTAGGTGTACATTAAAATATTTTAATATAAAATTGCATGTAAAGGTTAATAACCACTTAAAACATAAAATAATGATGAATTTTTATTTGGTTTTAATTACTAAATACACATACGAATATACATCTTATTTGTGGGTTTTAGGTTTTAATATAATTAAAACATACCACACTTTTAAATTTCAATTAATATTTAATTCAAAATTCTATAATTTCAAAGGTGTAATGTAATTGAAATTGTTATACAATTTATTAATTTTTCTTATCATATTTATTACAATTCTTGAAAAATAAAATTATATAAATTATTTAATTATTTAAAATTGATTAGATAAGGTGCAAGTTCAAAATCACATATGTTCTATATACATATGAATGAACCGGCATAAAATAAGGTTATATGCATAATATTTTATTCGAATTCACTATATAATATATAAGTTGTTATACTATAATATATGTACATATATTTTGTTTTGTTACCATGTACACTATAACGTATACTTAAAAAATTTTATTTACTTACAGCTTTGGCATATGCTTTTCCAATACCTTCAGTGGCACCGGTAATAACTAAAATAAAAAAAATATATATATAAAATAAATGTACCAAAAAAAAAAAAAGGGAAAAATCAATATGTATAACAGTTATATTCCTTATATATATCCTTTTTTGTAAAATTTCTTTTAATTGTAATAATTAATTAATTTTATTCTATACACAATGTATATGTATACCTGCCCATTTTCCCATTTTTTCAACATCAACTTTAGGACCAATAAAATTTGGTCCTATTAAATTATTATAAAGCCATGGTAAAAATCTTTTTGCTATTTGTAATAAAACAATTAAAACACAAAAACAACTTAAATTGCAACTCATTTTTTTAATACCGACAATTTTATTGTTTTTCATACAAAATTTGATAAATAACTAAAATTTAATTTAAAATACAATGGGGGAAAGAAAAACTCAAATTTGAAATTTTTATTTTTTTTTGCTTTTTTTTATTTCAGAATATTAACGCAATTTTCTCGAATTTCTCAGTACTTTTATGTTTTGAAAATTTTTGAGTATAATATGGTGGTAAAATAATGTCCGACTCTCTATTTAATATTATTAAAAAATTTTTCTATGTGAGATTACTCCAATAACAAAAAATTATTTAATTCTGCTATTAAATTGGTTAGTATTGTGAATTAAAAAAATGAGTACAGAATTTTCTTTCTTATTTATTTTATTTAATTATTTTTCATAGTATTAGTTTTTAATATTAAAGATTACTGCAGTTTTTTTTGAGTTCCAAATATAATATTTTTACTATCGAAAGTTTATGCGATGACTATATATGTACGTATTGTGTCGAATTCAGTAATAAAATTCCCTTCCGTTGTTCTATATAAAAAAAAATAACGATAATAATATTGTCATTTTAATATTACACACATAGAAAATTTTAATTTATAGATGTTTGTATGTATTAGAAAAAATCTAAGGGGTAAAACAAAAAAAAAATTCATGAGAAATTTAAAATTCTATAGGGTACAATATTGAAAATGTCCATATTATAGGATTACCAACTTATCAAATTTTTATGAAATAAAAATAAGTTTTGGTAATGTTAGATTTTGTGTTGTTAACAATTTTTATATACGCTTATGTAGTGGATTCGTAATAGAAATATTTTTGATAAAGTTTAACGTGCATTCTAACACAAATTACATAAATCTTATTAATCAAATTTTTTCGATTAATAAGACGAATCGAAGTCAGCAATAAAACGTCTTTTTCTATTTAAATATGTTAATTAGTGTAGACGTTTTTCTTTATCTTGTAATCAAAAATCCAATTTCTATAACAAAAAATTTACACGAAAGATGCATAATTGAGTTTAGTCCTATTCTCTTTTTTTTATTTATCGAATTTACAGTATTGTAACGTAACTTAAACTTAACGGAGTAACTTATCTTTATTTTTTTTTTTGAATTGTGACGATATTCTTTTTTTTCTATAATTCAAATTTAAGAAAAAAACAAAAAATAAAACACAGAGGGCATTGAAATATTATTGTGAATGTTAACTAATTTTGAGTTGTTGCTGTAGCAATCGAGCAGCTTTATTGAATTTATTAAGGAAAGAAATGAAGCATTTTCTTGTCAAGAGTATAAGAAATTGTGAGAGAGTTACATGTACATATTATAATACAGTACTCTACTTTCAAAAGTACTATGTGTTAGAATGCAAAAAATATAAGGATACGTATACAAGTATGCATATATGTATATCGCATATAATGTTGAAATTAGAATCATCTAGTATAAATGAAAATTGCTTATATAAATTATGTTCCTAATTAATTGTCATACTGACTTGTTTTTACTTCGCCTTACCTTAATCTTTAAAATTCTCGTTTTCATTTTATTTTGAAAAAAAAAAAAATAAATTTAATTCGGTTACCCTATTTTGTTTTATATTAACATTTTGTATAGCATAAAATATTTTTTATAAAGGAAATTATATTTTGTATTCTTTATAAAGAACATTTTTTTAATAGAATTTTTGTATTTCTATACATACATATGTGTACTTACTTACATACATTCAAAACAAAAAAAAAACATATTATTTTAATTTAATATTTTCTCTTTATTTATTCTTATAGATTATTTGTATGAGAGCCCATGTGGTATATACTCAGTAGCTCCATATAGAAATTATGCGCGCGCAATATATTATGCTATCATCAATGCGATAATACGCAAATGTACAGTTAAACAATTATACATACTACGATTTATATGGTGTGATTATTTTATATTATGGTCCCATACATGCATAGTATGAAAAATCAAAAGTAAATATTTTTGTTAGAGAAAAAATTTCGATAAGGTGTCTCAAGGATTTCAAAATGATTAATTAGGGAGTAATTAAAATGAAGTGGTAGTAGTTATTTATGTTAGGTTTGGTATTTTTTTTTAAATTAATTTAGAATTTTATTTTAGGAGTGCTTTCATTTGCGATCATATCTATTGTAATGAAAATGCTGAGCAGTTTTAAATTGTTACAGAAATAAAATAAATTTAGATGTAATCAGGCAAAAGCTGATCAGGCATTATAAAGTAGACTAGAAAGATCGAGATGATAAAATTATTTGATATTTTAATTAAAGTTTTTATATAAAATTTTATGATATTGTATTATTAAATGTTGTTAATTATAATACAAAATAATTTTGTAAAACTTTTCATAAAAATTTTATAATTTCGAATTTTCTTTGAAAAAAAAAAAAAATTCTCATAAATTTTGAAAATCAATTTTTTAATTTAAAATTTTCTCTGATTATTCTTTTTAGTCAGAAATCTGCAAACAAAAAAGATACGGCAGACTAGTCACCCACCTAGTTAATCCACTGACTAACGAAACTGAACTATGACTCTATCGAGATATCATTCAACGGCGCTTATATAAGGGGTGATTAAGAGAGAAAATTAATTGTGTGGTGGATTTCATTATATTATTATTGTTTATATTTTATTGTTTATATTTTTCTCTATAAATATAATATATATGACCCTGTAATATAAATTATAATAACGTTTTGAACAATATAGTAATAGAGTCTACAATTTTGGAAAATGTCAACGCTAGTGTAATGAAAACACTATATCCATGTGTATATTTTGTTATTGTACTTTTCTTTTCATATTTTAATTAATAAATTGACTGTGTATATAGGCACTATGCTTGTTCTTAAACACATATGTATGTATGTAGGTGTATTTATATAAATATGTATAGATCTAGAAATTCATTCAAATATAATAATATATATGTAATAATGTAAAATTTATCAATTGTAAATTTTATTTCTTAATAATAGTCTAATTTATAGATGCAAATTATAATTTATGAATGCATTTGAGAAATAATTTTTATTTCTCTTAGTAATTGAAAAGATATTTTATAAAATCAACGTTAAATTACCGTTATTTAAAATATTATTACGTACACATTACATTTTGTTTCCTATAGTGTAATCAGAATTTTCAATGAAATTAAATAATTTATTTTGGAAGAGGCCATTATACACGTTTATTATTTACATATATATGTACATACATTGTATATGTAAATGCATAAATATATGTAATTTATCATGAAAATTAATGTTATATTTTTGGTATCCATAAATAGAAAATTATTTAAAATTCCTTAAAAAGCTATATACTATATAAATTAAAGTTTTGCAAACGTTATTAACGAAATAGTTTATATAAAAGCTTAATAATTACATACATACGTACATAATAGAAAAAAAGCATGAGTTTGATCAATAATTCTACATGAATATGTATATGATACCAATGAAATTTATATTGCTGAATTACTCAATTTAAGGAAATTAAATTACAATTTTATTTTTTTAAATTTTCTACAAAATCCTTCTGAGTTTGTTTAGTCTCAATTCTCTAAATTAATTCTGATGTTATTTAAATGTACCTTACCTCCAAATTCCAGTAATTTATAGTCTGAATATACACATTTCATTTCAACTTATAAATTCTAATTTCAATTTAGTTTATGTAAAACTCACACATACACGCTAAGCTGAATTGCATTGATTATTTTTTTTATTGTGAATTATTATATGAATTCAAATTTTTTAAGCACAATTAAATTCAACAGAAATTATGTATGTATGTATTTTCACTTTTAAGTAAATAATATATTTTATGTGTTTAGTACAATTGGGAGAAAACATTCTCTTCTCATCCGAAATATATGCAATATAATATTTATGTTTTTCATGAATTTGCCTTCTATTGTGAATATATTTTATATTACTTTTACATTACTTTAAATATTACTTTAAATATTTTACATTTATTTTAACTAATGTTTTTTTATTTTAATTAATTTGAATTAGGAAAAAAAAATTTAAAATATTATTAGAATATATAAGGTTAATTAGAAATCTTTATTTTTGAGATAAAATTGTTTTTAAAAAAAGAATGTTAAAGATGTTGGTTATTTCACGATATATTAAAATATTACAATTGACACAATTCACAATTAATTATAGAACATTTTAGTAACAAGTGCACATTTTTTAAGTAAAATTGTGAATAATAAATTTTTCCTGTTGTGCTCCTTACTTCTCTGCCTGGTTTTAATTTTGGTTAGCTCATCATTATTTTACTCCAAAAATTTAAAGGGCGAATTTAATAAACAGCCGGGCGAATTTTAAAATAAAACAAAACTTATAATTTTAAATTGCATTTTAAATGTCTTATTAATTAATTATGTGCATTTATAATATTTTCCTGTATTCTATTTAAAAAAATAATTTTATATATGTATATGTATATATAAGAATATATTTTGTATAATATTTTTCTTAAAATTATTTTGTATAAAAAATTATTTGTATTGAAATTTTACTTTTTTTAATTATTAAACTAATAAGCATTGTTCTATAATTTTGTATTTTATTGTAATGTATAATGTTTATATGGAAATATATTTTATTTGATTGTAATGAAAGAAATTTTTTGGAAATAAATTAAATTTAATATAATAACAAAAAACGAGGAGTATAGAAATAAAATGTAGTTGATTTGATAATATTTCCCAAATTATTTTTTTATTTTTAAATTTTTTTCAACATCTTTGGGAAAGTTGATTTTCTAAATCTTTCATTTTTTGATACATATTAATATAATGCATTTGTAATTGCCTTTGATATGCCAAAACTTTTTCTTTTTCTGCAGCCCATTCTTGTTTTTCATTTTCAAATGCCATTCTTACTTCTTCTAATTCACGTTTAAGTGATTCAGTTTCATTAATACGATTTATTGATTGTTGTTGATTTATAGAATTTTTTAATTGTTCATTTTGGGTATCATTATTTTGATTTAAATAATTTCTAGCAATATCTGGTAAATTTGATGTTTTTTTACCATTACCACCATTATTATTTGGTGAATTTAATAAAATATTATTTTCATTATCATTAAATATTGTTGTATCATTTGTTAATGTTCCAGTTGATTTTAAACAATTTATAATAACATCTAAATCATCTTCTTGTAGAGCTTTTTTAACAAAATTTTCAGTTGTTATGATACTATTATTAATATCATCATTAGCGCCATCAATTTCATCATGATGATTACTTTGGTTTTCAAAATTTTCCATATGATTAATATCATTTGATATTGAATTTTTTTTACAAATACCAGATAAATTTTCAATTTTATATTTTAAACGTGTATATTTACCAGATGGTTCTTCACCATATTCATGAAATATTGCTAAATCAGATAATTCTTTACGAAGTTTACCTAATTCATTTGTTAGTGCTAAAATAACTTGATCTTTTAATATTATAATACGATTTAATTGTGCAATATCTAAATTATTATTGGTTTCGAACTAAAAAAAAAAAAAAATTAATTTGTTTTTTATTACAAAATTTTAAAAAAATTCAAACCACCTCATTATTATTAATGCCATTAACAATTGATGTATCATTTTGATTTTGAATTTCTTCTTGATGTTCTGTTTTAATATTAACAATTTCATGATCTTTGAGTGTTAATTCCATCTAAAATTTTAATTCAAAATTTAAAATTATATTAATTGTATTTATCGATTTCAATAAAATTATTTACCTTAGCCTCTTTTAATTGAGTTTTTAATAAAGCTATTTCACCATTCTTCTGGCATACAGTCCATTCATTTTCCTCTAATTGTGTTTTTAAATTTAATATTAATTTATCCATAACATTAATTTTTTCTTCCAATTGTAAAACACGATCCCGCATTGTACGTTCTGTTGTTTTAAGTCCTTCTGTTTCATTTCTATACAAAAAAGAAAAATTTTAAAAGAATATTAACAAAAAATGTTGCATAAATTTAGGATGAAATTTTTTTTACTTAGATTATATTTTTACATTGAAAGTGAAATTTTCATTTTAATATTTTTTTTTTATAACAAAGAGCTTTAAGGTTTAAAATATTTCCGATCAAATGAAAATTGTGAATATTTTGAATTTAATACAAAAAAAAAATAAATACAAATTCAATTTTTCCATAAATTAACATTAGAAATTTTGTAAGAACACGAGAGGAATTTTAATATATTTTTTTTATGATAATTTGCTTTAATAACATTAGAGAATACTGAATAGCCCTGAAGGATTGGAACTGCTTAATTTAATATACAATTAATTTGTAAATATAGTTGTAAATTTTGCATTATGCTCCAATTCTGTAGCGTTAGAGTGCATATTTGAATTTAAAATTTATGCCTATTAACAAATTAAGATTCTAATATTAAAAATTAAGCTAGAATTTGTTAATTATTAAAATTTCGCACGTCTTAACGATTCTGGATTAAAAATTTCAAAATTGTTATCACTAATCAAGCAACTTGTTCATAATTGAGTTGTAAGAATAAAGTAAACTTCGGCAAAATTGCAACATATTTACGCAATTTCAAATTTTTGGCTTTTGCTGCTTTTTCAATTTGAGTAATTTTGCATAATTTTTATAATAACAATAATAATATTAATAAATTCATAAATTTGACCTTATTTTTGTTCTTTGTAAATTAAGAAATGAATTTAAAGTGATTCATTTATAATTTACCTTAATAAATCATTTTCATTTTTTAAATCAGTAAATTGTTCTTTAATACGATTTGAATTTTCCGATAAACGTAATTTATTTTGTTTAAATTGAAATGATTGTAATGTTAACATTTGTTCCAATTTTTTTATTTTCATTAAATATTCTCTTTGTTGGCTTTCATAAAATGCTTTAAGTCGTTTAGTTTCTTGTTCCCAATATGCTTCTTTATCCTAAAAATGAAAAATAAAATCAATAAAGAAAATAATAAGAAATTTTTTTTTTTTTTAAAAACATCATTAGTCATTCAGTTCAATTGATTTTTAAAATTGTTCTATACATGCATACACACATGTACATAATAAAAATTTTCATAAATATTTATATAAAATAGCCTCTCGATTTTGAACTTACCTTATGAACTTTAAATATAACCTTTTCATTATGTTCCATTGTTTGCCTTAAATATGATAATTCTGAATCTCTATCTTTAAGAGCAGCTTCAAGTTCTGATATACCAGAATCTGAAGGTGATGGTGTCATATCAAATTGATCTTGATGATGGAATTTATTGCTAGATTTTCTAATATCCATAAAAAAAAAATTTAAAAATAAAAATTTATAGGTCAAAAAGTGGTTAAATTTTATTTTTAATTTTTTATAAAATAGTATGTAAATTGACCACATAAATTTACGAAAGAAAATTCATTGAAACTTGCATAGAGTAAACAATTTATGCGGTTTTTCTTCTAGTAGATCTTATAATATAAGATTAGTGATAATATTATTTTTATTATATACTTACATTGTACTACTTTGGCTATTTGCATCAGAATCTGGTGTATGCCGTACGGATTCCATACTATCATTAATTTTCAATGAACGGGAACAACGTCGACGTGCCATTAAATTACTGCAATAGCTATTATAACCACCATGACGAAGATCTGTTGTACCTATTTGATTAAAAATTTTTTTGAATTTATTAAACATTGTTTTTTTTTTTCGTTTTGTAAAAATTTGTATATTAAAAATAAAGTTAAAAGTGAAAAGAAAAGAATTTTTCATTTGATGAGTTTTCATACAAAAAGAAAATTATAAAATAATAAGAAATTTAAAAAAGCTTACAACATAAACACTTTTTTTATTTTTGTTTTTTTTTTTGTTGTTGCACACGCGTTAATAATAAATTTTATATATAAAAATGTCGTCTTGGATCAGAACTATTCTAAGTCCATTTTTGAGTAAAATTATGGTTTTTTTTACTGATTACATAATTTTTGTGTTATTTTTGTTGCTGCTGTGAGATCATATGCTCCGTTTAAATTTACTGTGAATAAATTTCAAAAAATTTGTGAACTATAAAAACAACCCTCTGTAGCTCAGTAGAACGTCCGCCTAGAAAATGTTAGATAACTGGTTCTAATTTTTCTGCCATGATTCATTTCCTTTGTTTACAACCCTCTGTAGCTAGAAGTTAGTAGAACTTCCGCCTAGAAAGCGGTAGGTGACTGGGTTCAAGTTCCAGTTCGAGGAGAAAAAAATTTTTTAATTTTTCTGCCTTGACTTGTTTCCTTTGGTAACGTCATTATCTATTCTGCAGTTGCATAAATTATTAATTCTTACAACCAATCCACTGAAATAAAACACTTACATTTTTGAATGAAGAAGTAGTTTCCTTAAAAAAATCTAATTTTATTTTTCAATAAAGAATGAAATTAAAAAAAATTCACAAAATTTTAACCGATTACATTTGATGTAATCCTAAAAACTTTAAAATTATCTCCCGGGAAATTTTTCAAAATTTGACTTAGCACAGTTTTGATTTAAGGCGACAATTCATATGTAAAATAATATATAATTTATAAAAAAACGTTCTATATATTCATATATGAAATATTAATTATAAAAAGTCATCAAATTTTTTTTTTATTTTATGCATGTGTATATATGTATGTATTCGTATTAATGTTACTTACTTCCAAATTTCATATTTGGTCCCTGAATTGGAGCTAATGATGGAGTTGAACCATAACGATCACATAAATCATTATATCTATTTGGAATACTATAGTCCGGTTCAAATGGTATTGGCTTAAAGGCAATCGGTCTTAATAAATTCTTTGCCTATATTAATATTGAAATCAATTCAATAAATAAATAAAAAAAAAATTATTAAAATTATTAAAAATATTCAATTGTTATAAATAAGTAAAAAGAAAATAATAATAAAGGTAAATGATATTTTTCAACATAAAAGGTGAATGAATATGTTAAAAAAAGAAACAAACACTGAAAGGAAAAAATAAAATTTAACTTGGCATTAAAGATTAAAGGCATCAACAGTACAAAAAAAAAATATTGTGAATCGTTTGTTTCCTTTTTTCTTTTATTGAGTAATTTAATATTTTTTTTCTTATTACCTAAGTATGTATGAAAAGATTTAATTTGAATCTTCAAATGTGTTATAAATTTCATTTTAAGTTTTGTTAACGGAAGTTTATTTGATCAAACCTCGTAATTTTATCTTTTGAATTTAAATAAATTTACTTGATTAAACCTCAGCGGTGACTTAAAACCAAAGGCTCATACATGTTTGATTGCTTATTTATATTTCATTAGTTTGTATTCAAACGTGCATACATGCAATTGTATGATCGCATACAATTAAGCAATGAAAGGGTTTGTAATTTTTTTACAAACCAAACGCAATTTTTAGTTTTACGAATTTTATTTGTATTAATGCAATAGTTAAGTTGCTTATATTTGCGCAGAATTAATTTACAATCGAACAGTAATTGCAAAACTAAAACTCTCTTTCTGCAAGAGCATTTACCAAAATTGTTCGATACTCTGATCTTATTGTTACTGTATAATACTGTTTGGACGTTTGGATACTGTATACTAACAAACTGTATTGTACTCGTCGTATACAACCAATTTCGTAAACATATGTATATCAAAAATTTTTTGGAGTAACTACAATGGTTTGGATTACTAGACATAATAACTTGAATTTCTTTGTCATAAAAGGTTATCATTAATATTTGAAAACTTACAATATTTGAAAACTTTATATAATAAAAATTTTTGACAGCTTTGAAACATTTAAGTGAGGAAGGACTTATTAATTACGTTGCGAATTTTCTATTAAAAATGCGAAAAACAACAAAGTTTATAAGTTTTTTAAATTGTCTATGAAATTTGAACAACGCCTTATGAAATGCATTCGAATTTCGATTTTGAACATTGAATAATACCTTTATATAGCCCCAGTGCCCTATGACCAGAAATTTTTATAATTTCTAGATAAATTGAATTTATTATTTAACTAGTATATTAGTCAGGCTCATTTGTTTTTATTAAACCCTATAATATTTCAGAACAACTTCGCCTTTTTACATGAAATGTATTTGTGGTTCAACAATAAGAAAAAAACATTAATGAAAAAACGTTAAATGGTGGGCTCTAAATAAGTTATAAAATTCTATAATATCGAATGGGTCAGCAAAAAACTAAAAATGTGGCGTTTTATGTGTATCAGTTTTCATTAAAAATATTGAAGTTTTTTTTTTTATTTCGTTACATAAAATTAATAAAGTTAAGCAAAGTAAATTAAAAATTAAATCAGTCATGGCATGATTTAACCCTATAATATTTTTTTTTCTAAAGAATTATTATAGGTAATTGCAAACCAAAAAAAAGCCTCTTCCAAACAATTTTATTTTTCTAAGAATTTAAGAATTATAATAGTCAACAATAATTCTTTTGTATTGTCTATAAAAACAATCAATTTTTGAAAGCTTTATACTTAAAGGAAGAAATTTAAAATCATGTATAATTAAGAATTTAATTTTTTGTTCTCTTTTAAAAATTGCTCAACTGAAACAATTAGGTTGAGTCATATTTTGGAAATAGTAGTGAGAGTATGAGTCTTATTAGTTGGTGTACTTGTATGACTCGTATATGTATGTAAATATATGTATTAATAGGCCCTGTTAAAATGTTCAAAGAAATCTTATAGCAACATTTTATATGTGGAACTAAGACAGCCATAATTGTCTGATTAAAAGCGAATCCAGTGCCGATAGCATATAAAAATCATGGCAGATGAACGCCAACAGATATAAATAATTAATTGAAACTGAAATATCTTCAACGTAGTGCCAAATATGATATTTTTAGGTTCCAACGATATGGCTACAATTGATAAATATTTTGTTTTCAAACACAAATATTTTGTTTTAAAATGTTTGATTAGACTTAGTATGAATGCTTGATTTGATTAAAATTTCATTAAAAATTAAATTTGTAAATTTTCATATATTTTGTTTGATATTGATAGCAAAAAATAAAATTACAAGAAAATTCTCATTGAACAAAATCCATAAAGAATGTTTGACGTCCAACAATTTTTGTTGTATCCAACATGTTGTTCATTACATCAATTTATTTACATACAAAGGGTATTTCCGATTATGCGGACATGCACTAAAAGTCTATTTTTGCAGTAGTTATAAAAAAACTTTAAGCATATCACTCATTTTCATTTACTCTCTCTCATTTTTGGATGTACAAGACTTAAATTAGATTTGAATTATCGGAAATTAATTATAAATATTACTGAAAATTTAATAGAAATTTTTGATTATAAATTTGAAAATAAAATAAATAAATTATCATACGTTCAATTTTTAGATTTCCATAGTACTTTACAGAGCGAAATTCTCTATTATACAATTAAAAATTAAATGACAACCGGAGATGGTGTTAAATCAAATCGGTAATATCGGAATAACCTAAATTCATATAAATTAGTTGAACAATAACAAAATTTAAAAAATTAATAAAATAATTAAGTTCTGAATGCTATGAAGGAAAAAATTTTATTTGAAATTTAATCTGTGATATGCGCTTAATAAGAAATTTCTAAATTATCTACAAAAGTTCCATAATTTCTTCATGTATATATAACCATATTATAGGTACAAATAATTCTGCATGCACGTACATATTACCTATATAAAATAGAAAATTTAGAAAAATTCGAATATCACTGTGTTTTTATTTTTCAAATTTTTACAAAGAATTTACTTTCGCGGTTCAAAAATTTTAAATTGAATTTGAGACCTAGATTTTATTTTAACTATAATTTTTTGTTCTTTAATGTATATTTAATATAGTGACCTAATAAAAGTACAAAACTGTAATACATAAAAGAAATTTTTACCTACTGTATAAAAGAAAATCTACTACAACTTCCTTCTTTTTTATTTCAAATTCACAATAAGAAAAATTGTAAAATTTTATGAAATTTTAACAATAATATGAAAAGAAACTATAGTATATATAAGAGCTATATAATGTACAAAGGAGAAAAATGAAGATCATAAATATAAAAAATAAGAGAACGGGAAGAAAAACCATAAAAAATCATTAGAATCGTGATTCAATTAAAAAAATTTTCATCATCAGTTTGTTTGATTTTTGTAGTTAAAGGCACCTTCAGTATTTTTATACTTGTATACCTACATGTACATATTGCACATAATATACATATATATATATATATATATATATATACGATTGCTTGTAATGAACTGTACTGTACATACATTATAATATAAATTTGAATCTAAAGAGAACAAATTCCTTAATTGGAACAATGACTTTGAAAAAAAAGAATTCGCTCAAAAACAAAAAAAAAAAGAGAAAAATCTCAATGAATCTATAAAGTAAAAAACGATTTAATCAAAAATATTACAATTTTTGGTTACCAATATCACCGACCTTTGAAATAAAATCACGATCTAACTTTTTTTTTTTTTTCAAATTTTAATTAGTAACCAAATTTTCGATATATTTTATCAAAGGGAAAGAGAATAAAAAAAAAACACCGTTAATCCAATTATGACATTTTGTACACATAAAGTGATCTTGAAAATTTTGAAAGCAAACATGAAATATGACATTTGTTTGTAAACATATCTAAGTGGTCTAATATACAAGAAAAAATTATTTGATTAAACCCATGGTTTGCAAAAAAGCACATTGTTAATAATGAAAACGATGTTCTATTGATTAAATTTGTCTCTTATTATCATAAAATTTTGCATAAATTTGGGGGTAATATAGTTATAATTTTCAAAATATTTATTCTAGTACTGGAATTCTATTTACAAAATCTATTCTAGACTGGAAGAAGTTTAATAACGCCAAAGAGGTCAGAGAAAAAAATTTTGCACTTTGATAATTTATAATTGGCATTACATTACAAAGGGTTTTGACTTGGGAAGAGAAAGAGAAATCAAGAAATTTTGTCCGAGTGAAATAAAATATTTAGCAAAACTCGCTCAGAAGCAGAAATTTTAAGCTCGTCAGATTTTCGGTTTAAGAATTGTTTAGAATATAAAATACACAATGTGAGCAAAATGTCATATTTCTGCGATTGCAGAATTGCATAGATACAGTAAGTTGTATCGGCCAAGAAAAGTATTACAAACATAAAATTTTATTTGAAACAAATAATCTTAAATTAAGATCTTTTATTAAAATCTATTATTTTACCAGAATTCGCTTTACAAAATGAAAAATATATAAAAGGTTTGAATAATGAGACGAACAGACTAGATTACAAAAAAAATAAATTTAGAAAAATTTCCTTTTTAAATTCCTATAAATATGCTATAAAAAAGATTTTGTGTATACAATTTAATTTTTAATAATCTTTCATAAATTTGAAATTTTGCTTAAAGGTATTTAGGATAGAGTATTATGGCCCACGGAAATATACAATTTAATTAACTTAAATTGAATTACGAAACGGATAGAAATTTGTATATTTAAGAAAGTCAAAACAAACTAAGGAGTTTTATGAATTTATTTTTTTTTTTGGAATCTCTAATGAAATCAATGATTACAAGTCAAGCTTATCCTTTATGCCAGTTTAAATTTTAGAGCCTTTATGAAATGAAAATAAAGTGTAAAAGCAGAAATTATGCTTTAAAATCTTTGGTTCACAATAATTTAGGTTTCCAAATTTAACGTTCTTATGTTAAAATTGTTGTACTATAAAAAATTAAGGTGTAAGAATATGGACACATTTTCATGTGAGAAATTTTTCACGTACTAATAATTTTAAATAGCCTCAAAATAAATATTAAAACAGCTATTCTATATAAATTAAGTAAGTGTGCTTACTTGATCGATTCCATTTTCTGAACTGCTAATTGAAATTTGACGTTGCGATTGATTTTGTGTATGTGAACCATTCATTGTTAATGCAGCGATTCGATCTTCGATTATATTTAAATTTTCATTAAATTCAATTAAATGTGCATGTTGAAGATGTTGCTGTGGTTGTTGTTGCTGCTGATGTAATTGTTGTTGTGGCTGCTGTTGTTGCTGAATTCTATATTGATGATTATGTCCGGATTGTTGTGACAATATTGATAATTGATTTTGATGATTAACATTGGATTCATTAATTATTTTACTTGGTGTCCTTTGGTGATGTTGTTGTTGTGATTGTTGTTGTTGTTGCTGCTGCTGCTGCTGATGATGATGATGATGATGTAAATGTTGATGCTGTTGAACATGATGTTGTGATTGTACTACTGCAGATTGTGTTGTTTGAATCATTTGTTGTTGTGTTGATAATTGCTGTTGCAATTGATTATTATGATTATGTAAATGATTATTATTATGATAATTATTATTTGGATAAATTTGATTTGATTTCATTAAAGATAAATTTATTTGTTGATTTTGGTTTTGTGATAATTGCTGCTGTTGTGGTTGCTGTTGTGAATGTAAATTTTGCTGTTGCTGGTTTTGATTTTGTAGTGGTTGCTGTTGCTGTTCTAAATCATTTTTTGTTTCAAACATATTTCTTAAGTTTTGAAATTTTGATTTTGATTGAGCAACATAATCATCTAAATTATTATGACTACCGAAACGATTCTTTAATCGTTTTTGTTCATTACGTGATTTTAATGTACCAGTGTGACCTGGTGTAATTAATGGTAAACCCAAGGTATTTTTTAATATAAATGAATTGGCATTTTCTAATGATGATGATCGTATATGACCACGTGATAATTTATTATTATTGTTATAGGTATCGTAGGTGGCTGTTTTAATGTTATTATTTTTTGTAGCTGGTGTTGTATTTGCTGCCGTTGCTACAGTATTGATGCTCCTTTTATCCATTTTTTCTCTCTATATGTAATTTTGTTATTGATTGATTAGAAAAAAATTTGTCCAACTGTCAAATTTTTACAGCTGTTTATTTCAAATATAAACATATGATGATTTCATATAGCTGTAGTATTTTTAATTATTGTAAATCTGAAAATATCAAAAATAAAGATAATTAATGATAATGAATTGAAAGAAAAAATAAATTTTAAAATGTATAAGATAAATTGTAAGAAATTGAAATGAGAAAACACAAAAATATTTTTTTTTCTCATTTTTCTTAATGTTGACATAATTATATAATAGATGGAGTAAAGGGTCAAACAACCAACTCAAATATTCGATTATTTTCTGACATTTTATTTAAAATGGAATGAAATATTTTGATTGTTCATAATTAAAATAAATTGTTCCGAAATTCATAATTTTCACATTTGTAGGTTGATTTCCGGGGAATTTTTATTTTTGAAGAACTTTCGACAAAGTTGATTAAAGCGATTTTTACTTTTCACCATATTAAATATACACATGAAAAATGAATTGCAATTAGGTTATAACAAATCAACATAACCATTTTTCTTCTCTCTTCACAATTTTGAACAGTTGTCATTGTCTTGTTCAAAAAAAAAATTGAAACTTTCTTTTTTCACGAAAGCTTGTAAGTGCGCGCACGGCTTACGTGCGTTTAGATGATATTGAGTACTTTTTTTTTTTCGTATTTTTTTTTCCAAATTTATTTCGCTTTTCATAAATTAAATTTTTTTAAATTGTCATATTGAAAACTTCATCTCATTCATCAATCGCCATTTCGTATTTTTAATAATTTTATACTTTTATTTTGAAGTTTTCAATTAATACTTGTGGTTCTTTTTTTATTTTGCCTTATTAAACGTTGAAGCGATTATTAATGGCTTGAAATTATACACAAAATTTTTGTGTGCGCGGGAAGAAGAAAGTTTTAAACTTATCATTTAGGTAATCAGGTACCTATGTATATTTGTATACGTATATGATAGTAATACTTTATGTAGGAATTTGTTAAACGGAAATGAATTTGATATTATGATTTTATCTTTTAAATTTTGTAAAAATTATTTTTGATGTAATCAAGTTTATTATGCCAATCAATAGTTCTACTGTTATAGTTATTTTCCTATTATGTAGGTATTTATTATACTTTCGGATTTTCAAATATGGAATTCAAAAATAAGTACACAAAATTTATAAATTACGATATGGCGTTATACTCGATAAACTTATTGTTATCTTATGTAATTATTTTTTTAAGATGTTATATTGTGAATTCGAGTTAAAAAGTGCACGAATGTCAATTTAAAAACTATCGTATAAATTTGACGCTCAATATTTGATTAATGTAGCATCATACATAATAATTAATTAATTTGTTATTAGGGAATGTAAGTAAAATGGCAGAAGTATAAGACAAAATTATAACACTAAAGCATTATTGCATTGCATGCTCAATAATTAATAATTTTAACACTGTAAGATTGCATACTTTTTTTCACATACTTCTATTTAGTTTAACCGTAAGTATGCATATATATTAAATTATTACTAATTTATATTTACTATTCAATTCTCTTGTGTTAGTTTAGTTTAGAATTCAAAATACTAAACAGCACCACATAATATTATGATTGTATATCTTAAATTTTGAAAATGACACTTAAAAGTTTAATATGACAATTCAATATATATCACATATAAATTAGTTGTGAATAATTATAAATGTGTATGTATATATAGGTAATTGAAAAACAAAATTGCTTTTCTTGCAATAAAATTTAAATTGGCGTTATACTTTCACTTCGAAGAACACTCAGCGTAACTTGACTCTTTTTGTACACATATTCATAACAAAAAAATTTTTGAATACGATATAGAACTTCCGAAAAATAATATAGAAAAAAATTACAATAATGCTTTTATAGTAAGAGTTGTATAACAATAACTAAAGAAAATTTATAAAATTTAATTTCTACTTTAGTTTGGAACCGGCATTTCTATTTGTCTTTAAAAATCATAAAATAAATGAAATGATATTAGGGTTTGATTTATGTAAAATGTTGTTCTAATTACTTTTTCAAATCTGGAATTCATTTAGAGATATATAATCGAATGACTACTGATTATAACAATATTGTCACTGATTAAAAGCTATAAAATTTAATTTGGGTGTGTTTGAATAATGTATATATATATATATAACAGTTTAGATAAATATTGTTTACTTTTTGTATTATTATAATTTTAACTTAATTATGGTGAGATAAAGAAATTATTTCCAAAAAAAAAAAAATTATAACAATATTTTCGAAATGAAATTGAGATAAAATTTTCTGATTAAAAATTTAGGAATTTTTATTATTGATTTTTACAATATTTTTTAATTAATCATCGTTTACAAATAGAATTTCGATGAAGATAATTAAATATACATAAGTATATATATATATACATAATTAGAATTTTATTTATAACAAAAATTTATTATTAAATGTTGAAGGAGTGTTAATTTAATAATAAGAATCGTATTGGAAGTGTTGATTAAATCATTAATAAAAATCTCACATAAAATAAAGCACTCATACCTTGAGTTTCATATATAATACAAAAATATATACGATTTTTAAATTCAAATCAGAAATTTATGTCCAAGCTGAAGCGATTTTAAAAATCCTATGTTTTTGCAATATGAAACTCGGAGAGTGAATATAATTTAAAAAAAAAAAGCTTTTAAAATCCTATATAACGTGGTAATCGTAAAGATTACGTACATTAATTTGCATCATTTAGGGCTTGGAACTGCGCAAAACCATTTTGAACGAGTTCTAAAATTTATCTATATAAAATTGGATTTAATAATTCTTTTACATTTTTCAAATAAATAATGTATTAGAATTTTTTTCGATAACAATTTAGATTGTCAAAAATAACACAGAGTTTTTATGTTGAAAAGAAATTAAGCGGAGTCAGTCTTCCATATTGTAAAAAAACACACAAATTTTGTCAATATATCACGTTTCGTATTGTATTTTGAAAGCATTTTACAATGTTACGTACTTCTCTTTGTACAATTTTGACAATAACTATTTTTAGTATGCGTTAGTTAATATTAAAACTAATATAACGCTATAGGTTTCGAATTTTTGCGTTAAATTTTGGTTTGGCAGTAGACGGTAGATGGTATCAGTAAATTTAACAAATGCAAAATGCAAAAATATAAAATTTATTTTCCGAAATGTAAAAAGACAAAGGCTTCGTTTGTGTTTGACAATGCAGTGCCATTGTATTTATAATTTTGTATTCAAATACAGCTTAAGACCTCACACTTAGTTTTTTGATAATACGGAATACTATATGATTAAAATTATATTTCCTGTTATAATCAAAGGTTTGATTACAAATTATCATTTCCTAACCTAAAATCTGTGACAATGTTAAAAGTACTTTTGTTATTTTAACAAAATTTTCATTCAAATAAATAATTTACTAGGGGAAAACGCCCAGTTATTTCCTATACATTGCGTATAATATTATACCAATACTATTCATAAATATGTATACAATTAAAACTTTCCAAATACTAATTTGAAATAATATTAACTCAACAGCAACTGTTATAAATTTGCGTATTTTCTCACAATTATTGTAAAATTTTCCATAAGTCCAAGGTATTAAAACGAAACTATTATAATTGCTACTAATTATTAACGTCGAAAAAAAATGTTGAAATTTATTATACTTTCTACTGTAGATATTTAACACTCAATTATGATTTAATTATACATATACTTTTCATATATATTATTATACAAAATTAATTGATCTTAAAAATTCTACCTCTTTAAAATACTTCAAATTTTTTTTTATCATTCTAAGCCTCATAATTTTCATAACTTGTTAACAGTATAACAGAAAAAGTATAACTTTCCCACAGAACGACAAAAGCAAAAACAAAAATCTGTTTTCTTTTTAGTCGATTTTTTTTTTACGAGTATCTAGTATTTTCATATTTTTTTTACAAAAATACTACTGCAGTAATATTTGACATTATGATATTTTCCCACAAGATCTGGTATACAATTTTAAATATGTATGTATGCGAATGTAAATGTGCATATACTTATATGGAGGAAATAAATTCAATATAGGTCAATTTCGCGTTCAACTTCATATCCATAAATTTTAAAACTAAAAAAAATAAGAGTTAAAAAATATAGTAATTTACATACATATATTATGTACATTTATGTTAAATAGTTGTATAGTGGTGGTACATTCTCATTTAAAGAATTGAGAACGTTATTACAAATTTCACTTTATGGTTATAATTACGTTTAATTTATAGCTTATATAATTTAAATATTTAGGTTATACACAGTAATTTGTGGTCAAATATACAATTTTCAAAAATGTATGAAAAAGATTTATTTACTAACTAACTTACTTTTCGGGCTTCAGCACACATGTAATTTTGACTGAATAATCTTTTGATTGCTTATTTGTGTTCCATTATACTTTATATTGTTGAAGCACGCACAAATGCAACTGTATGATTGCATATAATGCAGAACATTTTGTAATTGATTACAAATTTTAGTTGACGCATTCGATGTTGTATTGACGCAAAGCCTATACTCGTAGGATTTACACGATCGAACTTTGTTCATGAATTTTATTTGATTTGATTAAAATTTAATGCGGTTTGATTGAAAGACTAGAATGCCATTTAATTCTCATCAAACAAAGTTTTTGAATAATATTTGATGTATAAATTCTGTCTTATTAGAAATTAAGTAAAATTTTCCAAACTTAATATTTATTGTTTTTGGAATCAATTTTTAATCAGAAATATTCAATATATTAGTACTAGTATTCGTTATGTATGAAAACACATGAAAAGATTTTAAAGTTTATGTGTAAACAAATCTGTTTAAACGACAAAATATGTTTGATGCTTGATAAAAGAGAAGTTTAAAAGGAATGATTTAAACTTGAACAAATATTGAGAGGGCAATTATTGTATTTAAAGAAAGCAGCCTTAATCGATTTATAAAATGTTGGCAACTCTAATTTAAGTGGAATTAAACAATTATAAATAAATATCGTAAGTATGTAGTTAA